GTTGGAACAAGGTTAGTGCATTTTAAAGTCTCCAACGCTTGCTTGCTGCGTGCGACCGTGCCGTTGTTTGATAACGATGTCCCAATATCGTGGGGATCTGGATCTGCTAAAGTGTTAAAACTGAAAGCCCATTTATTTAATATAGGTTGGATATCCAAAAGTCTGTCATCTTAAAAATAAAACGGTCTTTAATAAAAGCGGAAGAAATCTCCTCTTTAAGATTCCGCAGAAGTTGTCAATCATCATGATCATACCCTGAATCAAATGCTTTTCAGCAATCGCAGTCAACTCTGCTTCAACAAGCGCTTTTCTCAATTTGATGCGTTGATCTGCTACCTTCGTCTTCTGCCTCCAGCTGTCAATCATGTTCTGGGTTCCTCTTGACGTCACATCTCCACCCATCCTGTTTGTCTTTGAATGATGAGTAATTGTGGTAAACAAAACAAAATTAAAATATGATATGTGACCCTTTTTTAACATATTTTCATATTTCTTTTGAAGAATCTCTCATTAGAAAGTCCCCTGACATGCTGTTTTTAAAATACCAGCCTATTCGAAAATGACACTTTATATAGCTTGATAATTTGGACCAAATGTCCATGTCATATGGGTGTTCAGTCCCACATATTCATTACCGTGTGCAGTGTATTTCCTGTTTGTAACTTTCAAGAACACTGGGTCAATGTCTTATTAATTTAAATGGTTTCAAAGCGTCAACGTATAGCCTGCAAGGCCCTACACTATCCAACATAACCAACCTTTCACTTTAACCTCCAGGTTCTTCCCCAATATAATCACATGACAAAAAAACAAAATCACCGTCGGAATTAGGGGACAGGACCCGTATGTGCCCCTCCCCCCCCCAAAAAAAAAGGGCCCCCGAAAGGAGTGGGAACATCTGGTTGTTTGTTGATGTTGTTCTAGTTATTGTCAAGAAATGTAACCCCAAAACATGATGACTTTCTTTTCTTGTCTGGGGCTGTCGTATTATCAGCAATCTGTTTACAATGACAATCCTTCTTCCGCAAATAATTTTATAATGTTTTATAATGCTTGAAGATATTTAGTATTTATGACAATTTATCATTTTCTTTTTGAAAATAACGATTTTTATAGATATAGGCCTATATTCGATTACTTATGATTCATTGTCAGAAAAATACTTATTGTACTTAATATTATTATTGTTATCGAAAAACTGTTTTCTTACATGAATGCAGAAGAAAATCAACTCAAATCAATTCAAAATTTCATCTCATCTCATCTCATCGTTCTCATCATTATACCTTTAAGAATTGGTCCACTTTGGCCCACTTGAAGCCCAGTTCGATGCCGAGTCGACGAATGTTCATCTCGTCTGAGATAGACTCTGCGATATTAAGAATTTCCATATCGCTGAGACCAGGGCAAAGATCTTCAGGTTCACTGTATTCATAGTATTGAAAGCAATTGATCTTGCGTTAAAAATTGATTTTTTTTTTTTGAAGAAATATATACTTCCTAAGATTTTAAAAGTCATGCTAATGCAACTATACATAATAGTAAATAGTGAAAAATATTCCTCAGGATCTCATTATGACATATTACCTAGTCTATATGGAATTATTAATCCGGCATCAGCTCCAACTTTACATATATTTTTATCGTTCATTTCATTAGAATTAATAAGTCGTTATACCCCTTCTTTTTTTCTCCGTTCCATTGAGAATGAAGGCAATAAAATGTGGCCGTCTTACATCATAATACTGTATATGCCAAGTATACAAATCATTGTCTTTATGATTATCGTTATTATGATCATCATCATCATCATTACCATCATCCCTATAATAATAATTTATGATTCATAAATTATAGCAAATACTCACTGCAGATCGTCATCAGGATAACGGGCCGCCATTTTGTTTCCTCAAAGCAACGCCGATGAACCAGCTGAGTAAACTTAGTCTATCATAATCACGATATTCTCAATAAATATAAGTTTACACGGGCCCTTTTGTCTATGATGGACACCAACGTCGCCTCCAAAGTGTGATTGTATGAAAATAATAAACTAAAATATGAAAATTGGCTTCAAAATTGAAAGTAAACAACATGAAGAGAATGGTTGATACTCGATGGTATTGCAGTTAGAGTGGAACAAGCCATAAACATGGGAAATGGCGTGCATGGAATAAGCGTGCAATGTATAGTACTCATAAAGCATTCGATCTATAATGTATGGACTATGATATATCAATAATTGATATAATAAAAATGGGTTCAAGAATGTAGCTAATGAGAAGCGTCGTAATTGATCACGTGTGCGTGCGTAAATTTTTTACCATATGCACGGGGAGTGCATTTTGGTGATAATAGCCGTCAATTTGTCGACTTTATACTCATATTGTAGACCTATCTTATAAAACAAATAATACATGTTTCTAGCTCGTGCGTTAGTAATATGCACTGTACTTAGTTAAGTCACAATGAGACGGACATTGAACTCGACGAGTCTCGTTCATTATCCTACTGTGACTCAACCTGCGTGCAGTGCATTTTAACTATAATGCAGTCGCAAACATGTATTATTTGTATAACACTGAACTTTAAACATGAAAAGCAAACATAATGTCTGGCCGTGCTTATTTCTCGGTATACTACACTGATAAAGGGAAATAAAGGCCGCTGATAGCAGGTCAGATGCCTAGATCGGTAAGTATCATTGATTTATTATGCTCTTGTTCTAACTACCGCCAATCCAACGTCCATCCTTGCCGTTTTCGATCACACAAGAACTAGTATTTTATGAACCAGAAGGAGAGTAGTTTGTTTTCGCTGTTGGGTGGTGCGTTTTAAGGTAGGCCTCATTGCATAAACATAACTAGGTGATCTATGTTGTTATATCACTAAATAAGACTTGACGAAGAAAAGATATAGGACCTACATTGTCTTTTATGTAAACATTGCATTATTGGTCCCTGGACTTCTTCATTGTACATGTATATATTCATAAACCGAAATCGAATTGAATTGAATTGAATTGAATTCAGATATAGAAGAAAAAAATATATGAAATAACTCAATATGAATATCCAACATTTGAAACTAAAATTAAGAAATCAAGTGAACCATCGCAAAATCTTATAAAATGTTTTCTGTATAGACTTAGGGCCCATCTCATTCTCAGCTGCCAAATTATGTTTTGAATCGATGAATCATATTCCCGAAGCATAGACAAAGTATTTAGAGATGCGAGAAAGCGCATTGTATATAAAACCCTGTAGGCAGCTTTGTTTTTCGAGGAGTAATAGCAGCAGCTGAAAGGCGTCTCCATCGCATTTGTATGTCTGTCTATCTGTATGTGTGCACGTCGGTCTGTCTGTCTACCCCCTCAATCTCTCTCAGTACAGACAGAGAGGGAGAGAGAAGAGAGAGGATGTAAATAAGGGTGTGTAGGGAGGATGAGGCTTGTGCTAGTGTTGGTGTGTGTGTGCGTGCGTGATTATGAAAGGTGTGTGCGTGTGCGTATGTGTGTGCATGTGACAGTTTAGTATACAATATACATACATATACATGTACATACATGTATTTATATATATATATAAATATATATATAAATATATATATATATATATATATATATATATATATATATATATATATATATATATATATATTGGTATTATAAACTACTACTACTACTATACTACCGCTATCAGTGGCGAAGCTAGATCCTTACTTAAAACATTTTGTTCAGGGAGGATGATCTATTCATTCATCCCCTGGACAACAGGTATTACGTAAGTATCTTGGCCACTGACTACTACTACTACTATACCACTACTCCTATTATTACTTCTACTACTACTGCTGCTACTACTACTACTACTACTACTACTACTACTACTACTACTACTACTTCTACTACTACTACTACTACTACTACTACTACTATTACTACTACTTCTACTATATTTACTACTTCTACTACTACTACTACTACAACTACTACTACTACTACTACTACTACTACTACTACTACTACTACTTCTTCTTCAATATACAACTACAACTACTACTACTACTACTACTACTACTACTACTACTACTACTTCTGCTACTTCTGCTACTACTACTTCTACTTCTACTACTACTACTTCTTCGATGATAAAAATGCTACTCTACCCCGGATGTCTGTGGCGTATCCAGAAACCACTTAAGTTTTAAACGTCTTTTTGTCACTTCGTTTTATGGGGGTGGGGGGGGGGGTGTACCCTCCACCTGCCCTCTTCTCGATACATGACTATTTCTTGCACATGAAATGCTTTATCATGCTGCTTTTATTTCTCAAAATTGAAACATTATTGATTTAGTTTTATTTTCAATGCAGGTCCGGCCGAGGGGTGGGGGGGGGGTGGTATCTGATCGGCATGTACCTGCATATCCATCTCACTGATTTGTACGTGTATTCCTGTATGTGTTAAAGCCACATCGTCCTACTTGTAGCTAATTGCTCCCTCTATATAGAAAACCATGCCTAATCGGTGACCATTGGTTCCCCATGATCCTCTGTTTCTCATGTTAATTGAGAGCTGAGTTGATGTCCAGTGACCTTGCAGGGCGGACTAATCCCTCCTATAAACAAGTGCTGAAATCTGCCACAGCTTAATTTTTTTTTTAATTGTTAACAGGCTCATTTTTATAGGTTTTAAATTCAGATACCGTGGACGATTCCTTTTTATGACGTATGATTGTTTTGTAAACAACCGCTTCCATTGAAACGTGTTTCAATAATAGGACATTCTAAAATGTTTAAAAAATCTGTTCTTTTTTTTTTTTCTTCAGATGACTAGACAAGGGGAGGTCCGCGACTGAAATCCTTCTGCGTGTCACGTCTTCATATACTGTGTTTATTCATCCGACAGTGACCATTCGTACATGTCCACCTGCCCCCCCCCCCCCTCATTAAGAAATATATATTTCGTTTCGTTTCAACATCTTCTTCTTCTTATCAAGTCCCGTCCAGTGGTCCACACAGGCTTCGGCTCGGTAATTCACGGCTTTCAGGTCATCTTGGGTGCATACTGTTTGTTCGTTTCAACATCTATATGATATAATTGAGGCATTACACGTCGGTTGTTTGCATTCGATATTCCTTAACAGCAGCTCTTGGGGGAACGAAGAGAGTTCGGGACAGCATCGGGACAGTTTGGGACAGCATCGCGACAGTTTGGGACAGTTCAGGACAGATTGGGACAGCTTCGGGACAGTTTGGGACATATCGGGACAGCATCGGGACAGTTTGGGACAGATCGGGACAGCATTGGGACAGTTCGGGACAGCATCGGGACAGTTCGGGACAGTTCGGGACAGATCGGGACAGCATCGGTCTCATAAAGCTCAAGACACCGTCTTGAGACTGAGTCGAGATGGCTTGTACCAACTGTGGCAGGTAGGCTCAAGTATCTATTGATGCTCCGACATTTAATTGCCCCGGTGACTTTATTGCATCGGGCAAGATGTTAGATACCAGATTTAAGATTTATTAACAAATATCTTCGATTCTTCGGAGCCAGATGGCTGAATTAATTGTGCTAGCTTTACAAATGAATAAAAAGACATAGGTTACAGTATACAAAGGTCAAGTTACAAGTCTTTAAATGTAGAGTTTTCATTATTATTTTATATAGTCCTCTTCATCGTTCTTTAAAACAAAAGAGAATGACTTGTCCTCAATCTTCTATTGACGATAACACTTAATTGAGATCTGAAATTTGAAGGAAAAACAAATCGAAGATGACTTTGCAAACACTACTGCATCTTTTAATTTTTGCAAATAGAAGTCAGTGCAGTTTCTCTTTGGGTAAAATTATTTCTTTGGACAACCAGATTATGAGATTGTATGCTCTTTTTCCTAAGAAGAAACTACCCACTGTAACAAAGTCAAATATCTTCTTAAGAACAAATAAAGAATACCATTATTCAACCGCCTGGTCAAAACGGTCAATATTATAGTCATAAATAATACTCCTTCTGCAACACTCCTCTGACTTCAATTTACATGTAAAGGATTGAGGAACTCATCCGTTTAAAGTCCTTAACGCCATCTAAAATGTGTCATATTATTAAAGGATTTTGGTTGATAATATTGTATACGTTAGCTGCATATTATTTCAAACATCTTTATTTTACTTTCTCCTTCTCTTCGCGTGTATTCTTTCATAGATCCATCTGTCAGAGTCAAGTAAGTTTAACGATATTTTTTGGGGGTGAAAATGGGATTTTATTTAAAAAATCATGTGACCAACAATTAACTTTAAACGTTAAAGACGCCTAGTAGTGGCCTATCATGGGGAATTTGACACCATTCGGGTGTTTACACAATAATAAGTGTTGTCAATCACCGGGATTAAATCAAAAATTAAAATCGTGCAGAAGCATCGTAGCATCTAAAATCAATGTCTTTTTGTTCATGTGGAGGAAATGATGTCTCCATTCTTAATGTAACATAATGAGTAAATTTTAACGGAAAATGTTCGTATTTCATTGTAAACTTGACTGCCTGATTTGAACCAAACGACCATAGGTCCTACTAATAAATAATGAAGCCTCTTCTTCCTTTGCTTCTGTCTTGAACTACTACTTCTTCCTTTTCTCCTCCTCTTCTTCTCCTCCTTCTTCTTTATTCTGCTTCTCTACCTTCTTCTTTTCTTTCTTCTTCTCCTTTCTTTTATCTTCCTCTGTTTTTCTTCTTTTAATCTTTCTGATTCCTCTTCTTTGTCTTTTAATTATTATTCTTTCTTCTCTTTTCTTCTTTCATTCTCCTTTTTTCTTCTTTTTCGTCTTCATCTTCTTTATTTTTCTTCCTCGTGTTTTTAATATTTCTTCTTCTCCTTCTTCTTCTTCTCCTTCTTCTTCTTCTTCTTCTTCTTCTTCTTCTTCTTCTTCTCCTTCTTCCTCTTCTTCTTCTTCTTCTACTTCTTCCTCTTCTTCTTCTTCTTCTTCATCATCTTCTTCTTCTTCTTCTTCTGCTACTTCTTCTTCTTCTGCTACTTCTTCTTCTTCTTCTTCTTCTTCTTCTTCTTCTTCTTCTCCTCCTCCTCCTCCTCCTCCTCCTCCTCCTCCTCCTCCTCCTTCTGCTCCTCCTCCTCCTCTTCCTTCTTCTTCGACACAGGATTTAGAAAATTCTTTTGAGCTCGTCGTGGTGAAGCGAACTGCAAAAGGTTATGGGTTCGAAGTACAGCTAAAGGACAACCTCGTCATCAATTCAAACAGCGATAAGAACAACAAACCAGATTCATTTGTTGTTAAATATATCAAAGAAAACACAGGGAACACGAAACTTGGACTCAAGGTAAGGTTACGTCTTTATAAAAATCGTTAGCTTATCGTTTTGATGCACATTCATGTTTTTCTGTTTTGACTAGAACATTGTGTTTTGCTCATCATTAAACGTTCATACCTCAGTGAATATAAAAGTGCTCTCATAATCCTCTTCTCCAACATTACCATTATAATCATCCTCTATTTTACAATATATTCATGATTATCAAAAAAAAAATCTAAAAACTTGACTTTGATATCTTCTTAATTTTGTCCTACTATCTACTTCGCCACGCCTGCCAGACTCTTCGTGCCACTGACATAATATCAAGTCGTTATTTTTTTTCACTTTAAAGATGCCATGAACATATCGCAAAGTCTTTCGAGAAAAAAATCAACCCGATGGCAATTTCAAAAGATGACGCACATGGCAATTGAAATTGCCTGAGGTCGATTTTGGGAAAGTCCTTGTGATTGTGTTCTCTGCATTTGAACTGGTTTCTATATATTTATACGGAGATAACATACACATGGTATTAATCAATTGCAGTTATATAATGATAGCATCATCATACATTATAAATGTTTATTATTCCCATTCCCTTGAAGACAGGAGACGAGATACTCTCTTTTAATGGCACCAGCATTCGACAGTTAACAATGTCACATATTGAGGAGACCCTGAAGAACAACAAGAATGATATGCAGCTTATCATCAGACGACGATCCCCGCCAAAAAATCAACCTGGAATCCAATCAGACGACGGTTACCATGGTTACGATAATCGAGGATTCAATGTAAGTGAGATTGTTCATTAAACGGTTGTTCATAATTTGGGGTTGATGGTTTATTATTTTTTTTAAAGCATTTGTATACTCGTAAGTAAGCAGCCAGGGGACTGACGGCTTTAAGTTCTCTCCAAAGGACTTGGTAATGGGGGTTAATGCCTTACCAAAGGGCACTAGCGCATCGACATGGTTTCGAACCCGGTACCTCCCGGTTACGCGACCACTGCTCTACCACTGAGCCATCGCGTCTCCTAATGAAGGATGGGCGAACGATGGTTCATTTTTGTTTAGGATTAACTGATAATGTTGAATAAAATAGATGAGTAGAAATTAAATAGTTAGTTTGAATAATTGATATGATAGCCTGCATATCATCAGCTTACGGTGTTGTTTTCTCGATACTTGGAAGCAATGTATTTGCCTTAGATATTCCCTATCCCCACAAAATTTGTTATGTTTGCTGTCTGTTGTAAACTTTTGTATTATTTCAAATTCAACTACTTATAATTTAAATGCTAGTTGCTTTTTGATGTGTCACTATTTTAAACATCAAATGAAATCAACACACTTATCAGTCTCTCTGCACCCTGCCCCTCATTCCCTCCCCTCATTCTCTCTCTGTCTCTGTCTCTCTCTTTTTTTTTTTCTCTCTCTCTCTCTTTTTCTATCTGTCTCTCTCTTTCTTTCTTTTTCTCTCTCTCTGTCTGTCTCTCTCTCTCTCTCTATCTCTCTCTCACTATCTCTTTCCCACCCGCTCTCTCCCACCCATTCTCTTTATTGATCGATCAACTTTCTCCTCTTCTCTCAGTTTACTTTCGCTTCTTGATAAGCCCTCAAAAAAAAAACATTATCCCTAATTGGTCTTACAGAAACCTGGTTAACTTTCGATTCCAACCACCCATACTCTATTGATAACTACGATTTTATTCACAAAAATAGGCAAGAAAGACTGGGTGGCGGCGTTGCTTTATATATACTTAAAAAGCTGAATTATACAGTTCTAGATAATGTCTCAACATGCAATAATATTATAGAATCCCTTTTTATTAAAATTGTGATTCCCGGTAATAAGAATAATAGTCGGCGTGATATATCGACCTCCGAGTTCGAATGCACACGAATTGTTATTGTATTTATCTGACGTATTACAAAACGCCAACTTCAACAATAAAGGTTGTTTGTCGATGGGTGTCTTTAATATAGACCTGTTAAAGTAAGTACATAGCAATGTTTCTCAAGAATTTCTCGAAACATTTTTGTCTGCTTCTTTCTTTACGCTTATTTCCAAGCCAACTTGTGTTGCAAATACTTTTGCTACTTTAATAGATAATATTTTTTCTAATGTTACTCCACATTTGATTCTTACATTATTCTTTCGGACATATCTGACCATTACCCCCATTGTGACTCACTACACGGTTTCACAACCATTTAACAACAATAGTCTAATACCCAAGTAGACGTAAAATAACTGTAGAGAATTTAGCTCGCCTTGGCACTAATCTCGAAAATACTGATTGGTATAGTGTTTATTCCGAAAATGAAATTAATTGTTCATATGAAATGTTCTCTAGTATATTAAACAACCAAAAATGCCGAAGCAAAAGGTCAAACATGGTTATAAGAAAACGCCCAAAATCCCTTGGATTTCTAAGTCTATATTGCGATCAATAACCTTTATTATAAATATAAAATAAAATGCACTGAGCAATCGAGGAGAAAATATACATCCTATAAAAACATTTTGACTCGGATTATTCGATTAGAAAAGAGAAATTACTTTGTAAAACGTTCGAAACTTTTTCAAAAATGATATGCAAAACACTTGAAAGGTAATCAAACAAGCAATGGACCAAGTTAATTATAAATCTGAGGTAATAAATTTCAGTGGACATCTCCATTTCCTAAAAAAAAAAATGCATTTAAGTTAAAAAATTCAATTTTTGTCTTCCTCAAATGTATTAATTACTATTAAGATTTGTTTATTACAAATGTAACTATGTTTTGTATACGTTATACATTCTATGCGTTATTATGTATTGTATTTTGTTGGAAATGAAAATGAAATTTCTCTCTTCCCCTTTCTCCCCCCCCCCCCAATCTCTCTCTCTCTCTCCCTCTCTCTCTCTCTCTCTCTCTCTCTCGCTCCTTCTCTATAATCTGATGTCTACTGATGTCCACTGTCACTGATCTGAAATCCATGAATGGTCCAATCCAATCCGTGCACACTGAACTGGATGGCTACATGAAGACTGGCACTGGACAATGGAAAATTACTCTATAATAATTCATGGTAGAGAAAGAATGAACGGGGGAGAGAGAGGGGGGTGGAGAAAGTGAGAGAGAGAGGGCGAGAGAGAAAGTGAGAGAGAGAGAAACAAGAGGAGTAGAAAGAGGGAGGGGCAGGGGGGGGGGGGGTAAACCTAGTTCTTATGTTCGTTGGTTATGCTGATATTAATCTCGAATGTTGATATTATCTTCGAATGGGTATATCATGGTAGCCTACGAGATATAAGTGTAGTGTATTATACAATACACGAGACTACACAGACATGCGATGTGACAGCCTTCTCCAACTTTTTTCCAGCCATTGCTTGTCAATTTCGAATAATATGGGTGAATTTTAAGAGCAGTCCTTTTCAGGAAACATTTTTATTCTGGTGAACAGACATAGAAAAAACGAGAAAGCTCACATTGTTCATCTTCATCAGAACTTAGCATTCTCTTGAAGTATTTTGAAGATAGATTTATAAACCGTTGCCTTATGCCCTGTATGGAACATTATGTATTATGATATGATAATGTATAATTGTTATTTATCAGTTATATACATGTACTGTTTTTAAAATCTGAATGTTTTTTATACTTTAGTAAAGGCAGTGTATTCTACCGATAGTCTGACGCTCCTGCAGGTTTACATTAATTAGGGACTTTTAGATTTGCGTGGACTGATACGTGTGACGTCCATTCAAGGCAGTGCACTACAAGGACGTCGATCGTAACAATCCACGTTGTCGTTGTGCAAATCTATAAGTCCCTAATTACAGCCATGCTTAAAGTTGATACTCTAAGCAAATAAATGTCCCTTAATTTGTTACCTACGGCAAGTATATGTTATTTTTAAGTTTTTCAATTACTTAGTATATCACAAAAAAATTCTGTCTACTCGAAATCCTCAATTGAAATGTCTAAAATATCCGCCTCTCTTTGCATAGAAAATCAGTCACGACGCTGGTCTACTATTTATGACCTCACGTCCGGGAGAGAGTATATTCACGTACCCGGATGTTCCATAGCAAACATGTGCAGAGTGATACGATTTTCTGCATATTTTTGTTTCAAAGGCTGAAAAGTCTAATAAATCATAATTCTATGTACAATTCTTTACCTTCCCCTAGTACTTCATAGTATTAATATCAATTCCCCTTTTAAAAATTATGACATATACATGCCAACGATGTGCTATTAGTCGATATTTTCACCATGTAATTTTTGTTTTGGTGTTGAAATCGGCCCAGGCACGGAGTGAACAGTAGCTGTCTACCCATGCACAGTTCATTACCATACACTGCAGCGATCTCCCGATGGTTTCTTCTTCCTTTTTCCCATGTCTTTCGCCTTCCTTGGCCCTGAACATTCTTCATCTACCAATTCTGACACCGGTAGTCAGGAGCAAGTCTTTGTTAGTTGTTTTTCTTAGCTGGCAACGTCACTTTCATTCTCTTGCAATTGCCGATAATGGCACAGTCACACGGCCACTTACGGTAGCTGCGGATGCTTACGGATAAAAGTCCGTAAGCATCCGCAAGGATCCGTATCATCCGTAAGCATCCGTATCCATCCGTAATTCAATCCGCAGGATCCGCAGACATACGCAGATCCGCAGCGGAATTTTGAAAATCTCAAAATTTTGCTGCGGATGAAATATACGTAAGCATCCGCAGAATATACGTTATCCATACGTAAAATACGTAACTCATACGTAAGAAACGTAAACTCATCCGCAGGATACGTTAGATACGTAACTGATCCGCACACTTTGTCGGGTGTGCGGATGCCTGCGGATACATAGGGGTACGTAAACACTATTACGTAGGAGTTACGTATGTTTAACGTATTTTTGACATATATATTGCGGATCTTACGATAGGACTTGCGGTAATTGCGTATGCTTGCGGATGGGATACGAATATTACGGATGGGATACGGATGTTACGGATTGGATATGTATGTTACGGTTGAGATACGGATAATATGCGGAATTTTTACCTATGTCTTCTTTCATTTCGGCGGATGTCGCCCATGCCAAATGGTCTTCACTTGGGTATGCAACCCTGGATGCTGCCAGCATCCTCATCATTGTCAGTTCTTCAACTGTAGACTTTCACAGGTCACTCAAGATGGAGAGAGAACGCCGCCTTGTGTTGCTGGATTGTTTGATGGCCATCCAACACAATCAGATGCAGATGAAGATCCTGATGGCCAAGATGCAAGCCATCCTTGAAAGGAGAAAAGAGAGGATGTGTTGGGTTCGTCACTGGATCACATTGCGACCACACCAGGGTGCCTATGGTAACCTGATGCACCTGCTACGCAATGAGGATGTTCAGGGCTTCCGCAACTTCACCCGCATCACACCTGCCATGTTTGCCGAAATGGTCACCCGCCTCACTCCTTGCTTACAGAAGTATGATACCTGGTACAGGAAGGCCCTTCCAGTAGGCTTGAAGGTCGCCATCACCATGCGCTACCTTGCCAGTGGGGACTCCTACCACAGCCTGATGTACCTATTCTATGTACCCCACAACACCATCTCACTCTTGGTGTTGGACGTGTGTCAGGCCATCTACGCTGAGTATGGCGAGGAGACCATCAGCAACCCATCTACTCCAGAGGGGTGGAAGGGCATTGCCCAGACCTTCTCCGACCGGTGGAACTTCCACCATTGCCTGGGAGTCTTAGATGGCAAGCACATCCGCATCAAGGCACCCGCGAACTGTGGCTCCCAGTTCTACAACTATAAGGGGTACAACTCGATTGTACTCCTTGCCCTGGTTGATGGCAACTACAAGTTCCGGTGGGTGGAGGTGGGAGCAGGTGGTGCGAGTTCTGATGCCCAGATTTGGAACACGTGCAGTCTGAAAGAGGCAATTGACGATGAGAACATTGGAATACCACCAGATGAGCCACAGCCTCATGACGATCGAGACATCCCTTATTTCGTGATTGCTGACGCTGCATTTGCACTACGCACCACCCTGATGAAGCCTTTTGGTGCCAAGCCACTGCTACTTCTTCTGCCAGACATGATGCACACGAAAGTCCAAAAAGATGGAGAAGAAACTGTTGAATAACTGGAACTAGATCTCAGACTTGATGAAATGCGACTGAAGCAAGCTCCGATCCACGTGGGTTTATATGCGGATGGTGCGGACGCCAGAGGAAGCCGACATGCGCAGACACGAGCGTAACTTATCCGTATCGTCCGTAAGTCATCCGTATCGTCCGTAAGTCATCCGTATCGTCCGTAAGTCATCCGTAAAATCCGTAAGTCATCCGTAAGTCGTCAGTAACATGTGTCAGCGGGTTGGCAGCGGATGGGTTCATCCGCAGGTTTTACCCGTAACATCCGTAATTCATACGTAACATCCGTAATCCGTAATCCGTAATCCGTATCGTCCGCAGAATATAGGTAACTTTTGCTCAAATTTCCGTATTGGGGTTAAAAATTACGCATTTTCATTATCCAAATATACGCAGGCATCCGCAGGTCCGTAACATGGCCGTGTGACTGTAGCATACATATAACTAGCGCACGTACGTTCCATCACAAGCAAGCAGCGCCTAGAGCAGCGGCTTGGTCTTACCTCCCGATTCTGCTCGCTCCACGAACGTTCATGCAAGAGCCGCATCACTCGCCAAAATATTATAGAGGAAGCGCGCTTGCATGATCTCGTTCAAGTTTGATATTTTACAACATAAAATGTTTAACTGGTACTGTATCCTTTTTTGAGGCAGTCACACACATCTATGATAAGTACTATCATAGTTCTAGACCTATTCGTTTTACAAAACTGCTCATGTACATCTGATGACAATAATTTATAATGCATCCGCCTATTCATAAGTGCACGATTTAACTTTAATTCCTAAGCAGTAAACTCGTCTTAAATCTCTACCAAATAGGTGAATATGAGGATATAAAAAGAAATCAGCGACTGGAAAATGTTGCTTCGTTATTCTTCATTCAAATGAAAACAGAAAATCCATCAAATATACTCCTTAACAACAACAAATCTAAGCTCTGACAGGATAGCATTTACGTAGGGATATCACTGCCATTCACTCTCACTGAGCCCATGACTCCCGTTCGTGACGTCACGGATAGAGGCCCGACTCTACGTGCACTTCCGGGTTTCAGACTTAGATATTTTGGTAGAGTTTACTCGAATAAATTCATTATTCTAAACTTGTTTTGTCGGGTGGACACCATTTGGTGTTATTATGGGGGTTAAAAGCTTTCTATTTATGTAATTATCTCAGTATTTGGGATTGTCTTAGAGTATCAGCTTTAACAATATCCTGATGTGTCGACACCCAATGTCCCACAATGCATCAATAACTGCATGAAGCGCGCGTGATGCTGGGTACAGGAAATTAGTCTATGTACGCCCTCACCGAAAGATGGCGCAATTGAAAATACAGTGTAGCACTTAGCAGGGTTAGCGATGACTGTAAAATACCTTGCCTTATCATCTTGCTATAGTGCGACCCAGAAAAAACGAAACTTCTTTCGTCTATGTCTGATCGTCAACGAAACGGAGTTATGTCTTTTGTCAATTCCGTTTGTTGCTACGGCAGGCAGCCAGTGAAAACGAATTAATTTAATCAAATTATGGAAAATAATGCAAGCATCACTCTAAACAAACAGAACTTTGTTATTCCTTGCTCATTTTTCCTGATTGAGGTTTCATATGAAAGGGCAGAAACTGAACTTTCTAGAAATGTGAATTTTTCTTCGAAATTCAGATACCACCCGCCAAATTACTTTTTGGTTTCCTTCCTTCAAATTGCTTTTAATCACTCGTGCGTGAAATATGCATCATATGAGTTGCATCAAATGAAAGAGGAGGATCTAAGCTTTACAAATATGTGTCATTTATCAATTGTAATTGTGATTAAGTAATGATAAAACATCGATAATTCTCGGTTTCATTTTTTCTGGGTCGCACTGTATAATAATGTGTTCTATCCTAAATGATTGAATGTAATATAGCCCTGCATAGTCGAATAATATGACATGGCCTACGCTATTCTCTACTTTATATATACTGTATTCCTATATGTTGAAAAATAATGGATTTTAATAAAGTGATTAAGACACAAATTGCATCAAGCAAATAATCTTTTGCTACTCGTCAAAGGGTTCATAAAGCCTATCCTGAAGATGTGTTATGTGTATATAGATTACCAGTTGTGTAATGATTGCACACTTAGCACGGGTTTACACCTTACTCTTTGTGAATATCTAGTGCAGCATAATATATACCCAAGTCTTTGCGAGAAGTGCGGCACATGAACGCGCATGAGGCCAAAAAAAAAAAAACGTGTTTAGCGTCCTGCTTTTGAGAAAAATAGGAAGGAGGCCAAAATGCTTAAAATGGCCGCTCTTTCCCTGGCAGTCGGGCTATTTTTCAAGATGGCCGCCGACATTTTTTTTTTTAAATCAGAAATAGATCCATTTTAGTAGTGTTTTTCATGTGTTTTTTGTTACAAAAAAAAATAGGAGGCGGCCCCAAAAAAGGAAGCGGGCGAGGACGCTAAACATGTATATTTTTTCAAATGGCCCAACGTATATAATGTGCGACTCTCGACCACACAGAGCCTCCGGTTTTATCATTCTCTCCAAGAAATGTAGACTTAAACCAGAATGTGCTTCGAGAAAAGCGGGCGGATGCATGCTAAAATATTTTATGGTAACAGTATCTCTTCTGCATGGTACTCCGACCTACGTTTCTGGCCAAGGCGATGAATCTACAGGTCCCAGGGGCGGATCTAGCTTTTTGCCTAGAGGGGGGGGGGGGGGGGGGGGGGGGCTTGACCTGGTGGCGGATCCAGGATTTCCAAAAATCGCGCCGTTTTACTGTTTTGCTTTTTTTTCCTTCTCCTTTTTTCTTCACTTGGCCGCCCAAGGGGGTGTTTAAACCGCCGAACCCCCCCCCCCCCCCTAAATCCGCCCCTGGGTCCTCTAGCTGATAATCAAGACTTTTAAGGACACAAAACAAAGACGTTAATATGTGATATTTGACTGCACGGTACATAGATATTTTTATTTCTCCACACTTTTCTCATTACAACATTTGGTACATCTAATAGACATATCTGAACATAAATAATCATCATAGGGGTGTTTAGACCGTTATTGCTTAGCTCATTTATAATATATAATAATAACTATACAAAATGCCTTTCTGCTGGTATGCTACGACAGGTGCCACTATTTAAATATCTAACTCATTAAAAAAGGAAAAACTATTAAAACCAACATTGAATTCTCTCACACCCATTGTTGTATCTGTATTGACATATGTCTTCCCAATTAGTAACCATAGTCGGAAGAAACAAACATTGTATTTATTGTCATTCTATAGCAGAATAATTTTTATCTAATACATCATAATGATGATATAATGGTATTACAGTTTGTCTGGTTTAACCTTTTATATGAAACAGAACATTACGCAAATTGGCGACTTTGTAAAGTATTTCCAATCGCTATGAGTTCCTGTAATCGATTCAAATCTTTGAAAACTATACTCTAAAATTACAAAATGAATTCGGATTTGAAGTAATGAAAAAACACCATTTTCGAGTATTAAATAATTTGGAGTGACTATGACATAATTTCCCATTACTCCTGATATTTTGTAAAAGATGCAATAGTGTAAATCTTTTGGCATATAAGCAGTTATGGCAATTATACCAGATTATCTAGAACAAAATTCATAAACGATCATCCCAGTCGCAAAGACAAGGATCCGTCCAGTTCTGGATATTCATTTTCTGTAGAATTCAGGTGATATACACTATGGAATCTCTGGTATCCAATTGCAAGCTGTTATGAATCTTCCAGAAGCCTTTTAAGTACTATTTTTGTTTTGATTTCAGGCAATTTAATTGATTAATAAAATCATAGTAACGCAGATGAAAAGAAAGGGATTTTCCACAACATACCATGTATCACAGCTTCTGATAAATGTATTGCAGTAGAAGAAAATAACATTGAATGAAAAACAGATCGGTCATCAAAAAGAAGAAATATTAATGAAGTTCATGAAATAAAAACCATGAAATAAAAACGGTGAAAGATGTTACATAAAATATAAGCAACATTTCTAATGAAATTCCCAAAACCTTTCTCTTTGAATATAATATAACAAGATTTGAAGCTTACTTTTGATACAGTGCACCAGTTTTTCTTTTGAATTACAATCAGACTCATACATGTATATGACAGGTGAAGTTTAGGGCATCAATTCGATTGTGAAAACCAAGAAAATCGGGGCACATTTTTGCGTTTTTTTGGACTTGCTTTGCAAATCAATGAGACTAAGATCATGCCCCCAAAATGGGCAATGTATGGTTCAGTTATGGATTTATTTTGATTATGTCTATAGCGTATCAACTACCAGCATTTATGTCAGCATGTGCCCGAGAATCCTCGGTCGACGCCTGGTCGACGCAATAAAATTGCAGCCTTGCGGGCAACCGGATTTTCCGCTCCTACGCCGTCAAGCCACATAAATATCATATTTTGTTATCAAACGGACACTTAATACCTTCTTTTATGGTCCGCTTGTTGTGCGGCATAAACAGAATTATCGGTATCAAAGTGGTGTAAAAGTCATGTTAATGGCTGTATAATTTAATATCCCTATCATAAACAGCGATTCTAATCCTTCTTGAAAACATCATTAATATTCCCTCCCTCTTGGGTTTCTTCTATAGATATCTATGACGGATCTAATCTAATTTTGTTCTAACCATTAAAGATAAAGTTGAGTTCTGGTCATGCCATTGCATTGTGAAAGAAACGGTGTGGAATCAATCAGAAAAGTTGATCATGTAGCATATAAGTATTGGTGTGTACTGCAGGGTTCTGGAGTCATCAAAATGACAAGAAATTTGGCCCAGTCTTGGTAAAGCACTGTACACAGGAAGATGTATATGGGACTACACAACGATGTGGTATAAAAATCGGGCCTCATTTTGAAGCTGTTCTACTTGTCATATTCAGAATATGGAGGCATTTGAAGAGCCGTGCTTTTCAGGGATTATTTTTTCTCTGATGTTCTTCCACACTTGCATAACAACAATGATAACAAATTATTTATCACCTCTCCCCAGAACTCAACCTTCTCTTTAAACATGTTACTGGTGTCTACAAACTCCCATATCTTCAAATGCCATATCTTCCCAAAACGAAATGCTAATTCTGTCTCAAATCCCTGCTAAAATTAAATACCTGTACAGTACGATATTTTTTTCTATAGTTCCTGTACACAAAAAAAAAGTAGTGCAAAATATTTTCTTTGGAATGACAAGAAGTTTGAAATATTATGAGCGATAAAAATATTGTATTTTAAATAATTGTTGAAAATAAAAGCTCTACAGTGCTACTGCATTAGGACTTTTCCTTAAAAATGGAGGCTACGCTACCGCTAAAATAATACACAGTTGTATCGATGCAAACTAAAACATTGATAATGATTAAAAGAATCACCAATCAAAATTGACATGTTATATCATTGTGACAGTATTCATATATAGTTTCATGTTAACTAGAGAGTTGCACAAGATGACAATATCTCACAAATATAAAAAAGGATTTGAATGGGACATAATCAACATGAGGGTGATATAGGAGGGGAGGGGAGGGGGAGGGGAGGAGGAGGGGGTTACCACAATCAATAGACATGACAAATCAAAGGAAGAACTAATAACTTTCATAAAATATTCATTTTAACCTTTAAAAACACGATTCCTTCTTATACCAGTAAGCAATGATATACATGATAAATATATAGAGTACAACTTCTGTCAATCCAACATCACAATGCCATTCTACTAGGGAACATAAACATCAGTTGACCAAAACAGTGCATGCCCGGTCACGCTCTATACTCATTATAGGTATAAAACACATACAGATATCCTCCCATAACCCCAATATCAGAATAAAAACGGTTAACAGGAAACAATACAAAAACCTCCCCACAGCGATTAAAGAAAAATATGGACTTTGATCATATCATCCTTATAAGATATAGTTTTCCAGATCAACATGTACAGACACCATAAAAAATCCCTGCAAACTGAATACTGATGATATTGTAAAATAGCGACGGACTAGATGGATTCTGGGCACTTTTCCTTTGAATTTTATTTTATTTTAACAGTTGTATACATGTAGTTTGAAGCAGGGTTGTCGTCCCGACAGAAAAATTAATAAAAATGGTTCTGATAATGTCATCGCAGTGCATCAATTGTTCTCTATGAGTATGTAGAATGGGACTGAGATGCAAAAGTATATTTGTGTAGAATATGATTTTTTTCTTCTTCTCCAAAATAACATTTTTGTATTCAACTGGGACCACTGTTACCTTTCACTTATTTCACTTCCTAATTTTCACTGTGAGCTAATAACGAGCAAAGAAAAGGAAAAATATTCAATTTCAGAGCCTATAAATGCTGACATGAATCCCCAAAACAATGGGGTTGTTTAAAACAACCAAACTACTTGTAACAAAATCAAAATTTACACCGGGAATTTGTTTCCATACCGATAACTAACATTATGAAATAGCGATGTACTATATTAAAGATCATACCATAGATGGGGCTGTACTTAGAAATAAAAAAAACGATAACATTCATGTTTGAAAGACAATGATTTTGTTTGTTACACAAGTGCCTTTCATTCACTCCAACATCCCGCACCATTGCCACCTATTTCTTAACGAAGGTTCACAAATTAATGGTTAATAATTGATATAAGTCTACACTTATCCAGTTTTAATTATACACATGTCTAAATGCAATCATTTATCTTCGTATCACAAGTTTTAAAAGGGGTCTTACAAAATTTACACAATTATATGGCTTTTACAGTCTCACATACAATGTCAATGTATATTCATTATCGTCTCAATCGCTTCACTTTTTCTCTCCACCACATGGTTAAAGTGACATCTTACTTGTCTCGGCTTCTCACTCGAGAGCAAGAAATAAATCTTGCCAATACTTGATATCCTTCTTGATTTACAACCAACCAAATTCCTCTCACATCCCTCACGCTTTAACACACCTCTATAACAAAAGTTAGTCTATTTAAGCTTGTTCTAATGTTACAAAAGAGCTATATAAAAAAAAGAAGAAGAAGAAAGAAGCAGGATTGTACATCACTAATACACAGACCTTGATAGTAGCCTACATTTTATATCCATGTAGTCAGTCACACTGCTCTTATCACTGCATTTGCGGAATACAGGGCCCCGTTTCACAAAACTTGACATCAGTGACAGTTTTTGTTATAAGCTACTGAAATCCTTGCTTCTGATTGGTTATCAGCAGATTTGTCACTAATTTTTGTCATTTGTCATTGAAAAAAGACTTTGTGAAACAGGTCCCGGGTCTCTTCTCTTCTTAAACATTAATGTTGTACTTATATTTCAATATTATGGGAAGGATAATTTGTAACATTACTATTGATCACCAAACCAAATGTTAAAAGATGGTTATAAAGAGAGATTATATATATATGATATCAAACTTTGGCAATAGCGATGTCAAATCATTCCACGAAAGTATGACTAATTGTGCATGCACCACTATCCATCTTCACAACAGTGCACATGCACTGAAACAAAATTTATAAAACTTCACAGTACACAATATTTCATAAAGACTTTAATATCATAGTCAATCAAAATTTGCATTACCGGTATATGAAAGGGAATATTTACAGCGATATCATGGTGGATCATTTGGTAGATACATAATTCTTTCACAGATAATATACACTAGTCTATTTAAGTGAACAATTACATACATGTGCATATGAATCTGTTTGGAGATGGTGCACATTGACCTCTTGCCTATATAGTTTCCAACGCATTGATATTCATATCCCTTTTTTTCAATCTCTTCTCCATGCCGGTTGGTTTATGTATTTGTTAACTGAAATGGAGTATAACACTTCTGGGAAATATAAAAACACCTGTACAAGTATGTTTTACCCCCAAGAAACCCCCAAGAAAAGTGAAACACACATCGTATTGTTCGAGGAGGGCAGAGAGGAATGGAAACAAGTCCTTAAAAAAAAAAAATGTCCTTCTGGCCCTTAACAGCTGGTGTTTATCCTGTACAAGGTCCTCTGAGGCATCAGAAAAGCAGTATCAGCAATGACCTCTGGTCTCAACCATGCAACGTATGATGGCGTAAGCTGTGGCTCCGTTACCAGCTACATTACATGTGCCTCCATTACGACAGGGGCTGGAGGGACTGCTCACTGCATGATGGTATGACCTCCAGCAACACCATTACACTGCACATACTGCACTGACCTAGAGTTACAAAGTGCCTTTCATTCCAGAAACTCTCAGCATTCTACTCTCGCTGTAGGTTGATCCAAAGTCCGCAACCGACTCTTGACGATTGAGTTGGTTCATCAACAGCATGGCAGTCCAGAAGCATTTACTTTTCAACTCTGTGATGTTTCTTTGAAAGCTGTAGGACTACACCCCGATAACACTTAAACTTCATGTGACCTCAAGTGGCTGTTCATCTTAGCATCAGGCATTACAAATACATGTATGCATTTTCTACTACTACAGCGACCATTATCTGACCTCTCTTATTACTGAAATTTGACCTGCGTTTACTAAATGGCAGAGTTCCCGTCCGTGCCGTGATGTTACTGTAATAGGGCTTCTCCACTTTGAATAAATGAAATAGATTCTATATAACCTTGACTTTCCAACAATAATATGACCTGTGACTTTCTTCAGTAAAATGACCTTTGACCTACGATAATATATAATCTTAGACTGTCCTCAATACTATGACGTGTGCCCTTGATATAAGGACCTTGGATCTAAATGACCTCTGACCTCTGATCTTTCTAATATGGTCTAGAAGGTACTGATGGTCTATCTGGTATTGGAGGGGTTGGTCTTGTAGGAGCCTCAGGACGTCTGGAAGAAAAGAAGAAAAAAACAAGAAACGAGGGCAAACGCTCTTTTATATTGATGTTTCAGTCTTACATTAATGTAAAATTTATAATTAGCAATAAGACAAATGATAAGACAGATTACAAGGACACTTACTGTTGCATCAATAAATGAGTCTATCATTTGTCAACTCTAATTACTAGATATATGGGACCTAAAAGTATGCAGTGCTTTTAGACTGACTTCTATTTAAAGAAGGGGTCATCTTTCAAAGGATATAACTAAGTATATCTCCTGTCACCCTGCAAGGTCACTGACAGGTGGTTATCTCATAAAATCAGCCCTCACTTAGCATACAAAAAAGAGGATCATGGGGGACCAATGGTCAACGATTAGGCATGGTTTGCTAGATAGAGGGCGCAAGTAGCTATAAGTAGTGCAGTGGGGCTTTAAGATCTGTAGGCCATTCAGAATTTCAAGGAGTCTTAATCCTGGGACCTTCACTGGCGTCAAGACCTAAAACAGCCATCGCTGCATCAATCGCTTCATCAAAGGTTCTGATGAATTACACCCGTTGTACACAAGGCGTCCTTTTCATTGCGTTACAACTATCGCTAATCATACCTGTGAAGAAAATTGGCCCAGTTCATCTTGCCTACATCTTTCATGTATTAGAGATGGCACTCTCGCATGGTGCGTGACGCATTCCTGAGTGGGCTGAATGACACCCAACAACACGCATTATGGAGATGGGGGTGTTTCACAAAGATCTTAAGTTGAACTTAACTCTAAGTTGGACTTAAATATTATGGAGAACCATTTGTAGCCTTATTTTGAAATATATTCAAAAGCACAAATGCAAGTATTTTAGACTTTTCATAAATTCCACATCAAGAGCATGAAATCTCCTATGATAATAGAAAATATGAATGATTTGAATCAACATTTTATGCCTTTTAAAATAACTTTTACAAAAAAAAATTAAGGATGTTAATGGCTTTCCATAATTGTTAAGTCCAACATAGAGATAAGTTCAACTTAGGATCTTTGTGAAACACCCCCATGGCCTGTTAATCTTACCTTGGAATAGAAGGAGCTGGTCTATTTGGCATGTCTGGTCTACCCGGTATATTAGGCTGTCCTGGTCTAGACGGACCAGGGTTAGGCCTACGTGGCATACCTCCTGCTGATGGGGCTGGGGTGGCTCTGTGAGGGATACAATACAGAAAGGTAACAATGAGTCTTATCTGCTAAGGTTTAAACCCCTAAAATGTCTGAATACTCTGTACACATTGTTTGTGTGAGAAAAGTCAACGACGGCAGCTCATTGCTTATTCCATTAATCTACAAAAGCAGGCAAAGAGTTAAGAATACAATAAGCGATTATTGAAGACACACTAAATCTCTGATTAAATTTAATAGCTGTTTGCCTATATAATGATGTTTGAGAAAAGTCAACTGCAGCAACTCATTGCTTATTCCATTAGTCTACAAAAGCGGGCAAAGAGTTAAAAATATACTGGACGGTCTTTAAAGCTAATTTCAAGCTCCAATAAAATCTGACAGCCGTTTGACTTTTCCTGTTTTTTAGCCACTTTGAGAAGCCAAACATTTATTTCTCACTATTATTAAAATAACTGATGATAATATATAACAGGTACAATGATTTCACACCAAAAAAGTATCACTCTAAAAGTACACTTTTAAAACAACATATTTGCCTGGCTTTTAAAGCTTAAACATATTTGTATGAGTAATGTTAAATGACTTTATATGTGCAGTTTAAAAAAAAATTAAGAGATCCTATTCTAAAGTCAAGTGAAAATATATAAAAACAATAACATTTTGTGAAAAAATGGTGCAACAGTTATGGTAGCTAAGAGAACAGAAAGATGAGAAGAACCTATGATATATTTTTGATACATAAATGAATTCACTTTAATACAAACAGATAAATACTTCACACTTTTCATCTATCTATTGGCATGTAAGATTAAACATCTGATCTACATTTTAACAAATGTTTGAATGGCTGTGGATGGCTCAATGATGGACACAATAAAATCACAGCTATAGAAAGTGAAGTGGTACTATCCGCCTATTGCAGTTGATACTTTACAGGAGGTTGTGAGTGTAAAATTCATTTTTAAAACAGATGGATGAAGTTGATTTATACAGGACTGAGTGTTTGGAATACATGAATATGTGAAAGAATTATCTTAATTATTGTACAATGACAAATCACATAATCATTAGAAAGATTAGTGACATATAACAATTAACTCCAGGGGGTGTTTTACAAAGATCCTAAGTGGCGCCTTTGAATGCTTTTGCAGATAAATGGCGCCATACAAATGCTGTTCATCATCATCATCATCATCAACTTAAAAAATTATGGAGAGCCGTTAGCATCTTTGATAATATTTTGAAAAAGTTATTTTAAAAGGCATATAATGTTGATTCAAATCTTCATATTTTTTATTATCAAGGAAATTTCATGTTCTTGACGTAGAATTTATAAAAAGTCGAATATATACTTGAATTTTAGCTTTGAATACCGGTATATTTTATTTTTAGACAACAAATGGCTTACCATAATTTCTAAGTCCAACTTAGAGTTAAGTTCGACTTAAGATCTATGTGAAACACCCCCTGGTATGGTATTTAAATGGTTTTCGACCTCTATTTGTTTCAAAATCCACTCGAAGAGGAAACATATTTCACAGCAGCCTAGTACTGTTAGTATCTTCCTATTTGTCATCTAAAATCAAAAAAGTTTTGTGAAAGTTTTAGAGGGCTTACCAAAAGAGTATGTGAGCTTTAATACACTATTCAAACAACTACAAGCTAAGATTTAAAGAGAAGGTTCAGTTCTGGGGAGAGGTGACAAACAAGTTATCATTGTTATTATTTGTGGAAGAACATCAATGAAAAATGTTCCCTGAAAAGCATGGCTCTTCAAATGCCTTCATATTCTAAATATGACAACTGCTTCAAAATGAGGCCCAATTTTTATGTCATATGTTTGTGTAGTCCCATATAACGGTACATCTTTCTGTGTACATAACTTTACCAAAACTGGGCCAAATTTCTTATCATTTTGATGACTCCAGAACCTTGCAGTACACACCAATACTTATATGCTACATATTCAACTTTTTCTGATCGATGCCACACCATTTCTTTCACAATGTAATTGCATGACCAGAACTCAACTTTGTCTTTAAGAACACAGCAAACAGGTCGAGAAACAAGGCTTTTTAAAAGCAATACAAAGGTATGATGGAACACACTGCAGCTAAGATAATGTGATAGGGTGATTCGGAGTTTGGTGTTAGCATTAGAAAGAAAGAGTAATTGTCTTGTGAGAGACAGATATCTGACATTAGCTATAAAATATCTGGAAATATGTCAAGATTTAAATCAAAACAATCTGATGGATTTTAAAATCCAAATTTCAAATCAAGGTACATGTTTCATGATGATCGTTTATGGTGTTATTAGAGATCGTGTAACTCTACGCAAAATCATCATCCTTACAGATACTTGGTGTACAAGAATAGTGCTCTACCAAAACATTTGAGACTTACATTTTGGCTGCTGAAAGCAAAAAGGCTGCTATCAGTGAATGCCTTTATAGAGTGGTGAATTGTGACGTCATCAAATATCTAATTTTTTTAATTTCTCAATTTTTTCTTCATTTTCCGAAAGAGCATCAAAAATAATGTCCAAATGTCGAAAATCAATTGAATATGTTTAGTATTGGCTGAGATATGACCATCCGAATAAATAGATTTCCTATAGGAGCTCAGTGTTATTTTGCTCTGGTTCTTAATGTTATGAACCAGAGAAAAAATAATGTTTATTCAGATGGTCATATCTCAGCCAATACTTAACATATACTCAATTGGTTTTCGACGTTTGGACATTATTTTTGATGCTCTTTCGGAAAATGAAGAAAAAATTGAGAAATTCTAAAAATGAATTTTTATGAAGTCACAGCTTCGGTACTCTATGGCTCTCAGTAGCTGATGGGTTAAAGGTCAAGTGTCAAGACGAAATGAACACATACTAACACTGACACCATACTTGTAATCACAACCTGTGCTACCTACAACCTTCGAACTAGTTAAAAGCAATGTGTTGTTGAAGATATATGTGAGGAGGAGTGATAGGTGACATACACATTGAGATAAAAATCTAGCTAGTTTACCTTTTCGATGGGGTGGGAACACTGGGACTGGGATAAAACAAAAGGCGATTGGAGCAGGCATAAAGAGGGCAACACAAAATCAAAACAAAATCATAAAGGTGTCGATTGAAGGCAATACAATCAATCACAGCATAATCATTTCATACAAGCATGTGTTAGTAAGCATTTCATAATTCATCCTTCTTTTTAAATTCATGTTCCCGGTGCAACAACAAACACATTTTGAAGTGAATGACCATCAAGAGATTACCACGGAAATCTCCGCTAATTGATTCTTGGTGCTAGGTGTCAAAACAAACACTGTTTTTGCATGTTCTTTTCAGTGCCATGTAGTGTAAGACGAGTGCAAATGAACACAGGCACCAAAGCTACACACATTCTTGTTTTCGGAATGTATAGCATAAATAGTCCCTCTTTATGAAATTCATCTCCCTTATTTTTTAGTGCAAGCATGAAAATAAGTACAGTTCTGACTTGTGTTAGGCTTGTAGACAAAGCTATGACTGTTTTAATGGGTGTGCAAAGAAAATGCAAGTGCGCAATTTTTGCTTCTTTTTATAATGGCAATAACATCTTCCATGCAAAAGGCATTGGTGTCTGTTAAAAAACTCCCAAAATTTCAGACCCCACATGCAGAAAGCAACTTCAAATTGTGAAAGACATGTGCAATGTAGCAACCTGTGAATACAGACCACCCAGGGAATATGATGTCAGTTGCGGCTAATGCTTTACATGCGTTTAGTATATTAAAACTGTGTGTAAAGGGGCAGTTAAAATACACATAACAAAAAAAGGACATAAAAAAGGGGGGAATGGCGGAGCATAGAGGCTCGCAAGAATCATGCAATCAAAAAATCTTATCATATTCTTTTGGGCCACTTGTACATGTAACAGGTTTGCTTTGGTAGGATTAAAATTAAATTACTTCGAGCAGCAGAGAGCTATTCTCTCATTTGCACAGTTCAGTATTGGTTCATTTGTGCACTTGTGTTGATGACTGCATTATATAATGGTTTAAACAGGGAGGTGAAACTCTTGTAATTTATTCAAACGCATTCTTGAGTTCTAAAGCGTAACAATGGGATGTGTAACATTCCACTTGGCTTTGAAGTCCCATGCTCCGAACCGCGCTTCCACTGCGGGGACTTTCGGAAGCCAGGCACCAGTTTTACATTTATTACAAAATATTAAATTACCGGCAAAATTTCAGTGTAAATCAAAAACTTTATATGGGGATTTTATTGGGAATAGTGCATTAAACAAATTTTCAAATTTAGAACTCCGTCCTTCCTTTAATTTGTGTGCCAGAGTTGGTAAAAGAAAAATGACATCCTGTCAAAAACTCAATATTTTAGGATGATGCGCTAATTTGTGCATGCTTTAATGTCCCGTTATTTGATCCATGATTTACAATCTTCAATAACATTAAGTTTGCTAATGCGTGTTTTTGCGTGTTTTTTTGTATTTTTCAAGTTTAAAAAAGGATGAAAGTACACAAGTTTGTGTTCGCTTGTTCTACTCTTTACACATTCAACAATGGATGAGAAATCATTGGAAGGGACAGCGAACAGTTGCAGTGATACCATTTTCTGATGTAGGAATTCTAACTCCTGAAATTTCATGCGCTCTTTTATCTCACCACCTGGTCAACAGTTGCAGATTAGCGCATAACTTTTCTGTGGCTTGGAGCATGGGGTCAAAGGAGAGTGGCTTGATTCCAGTCCTTCTCTATCACGTCCCTGGTTTAAATAAGCATGCTTATCCCCTGGAAAATGAAAAATGGCAAGAATCCTCCACCAACACATGGAAGAGGGACACAGAAGGAGGGAGAGGAGGAGAAGAGGAGGGAGAGGAGAAGAAGAGGAGGAATAGGAGGAGAAGAGGGTGAGGAGAGGAGGGAGAGGAGGAGAGGAGGAAAAGAGGAGGGAAGGAGGAGAAGAGGGAGAGGAAGGAGGGAGAGGAGAAGAGGGAGAGGAGGAGAAGAGGGAGAGGAGAAGAGGAGGGAGAGGAGAAGAGCGAGAGGAGAAGAGGGAGAGGAGAGGAGGGATAGGAGAAGAGGAAGGAGAGGAGGAGGAGTAAAGGGAGAGGAGGAGAAGAGGAGGGATAGGGGGAGAGGAGGGATAGGAGGAGAGAAGGGATAGGAGGAGAAGAGAGAGAGAAGAAGAGGAGGGAGAAGAGATAAGGAAGGAGAGGAGGGAGAGGAGAAGAAGAGGGAGAGGAGGAAAAGAGGAGGGAGAGGAGGAGAAGAGGGAGAGGAGAAGAGAAAGGAGAGGAGGGAGAGGAGGAGAAGAGGAGGGAGAGGAGAAGAGGGAGACTGGGAGAGGAGGAGAGGAGGGATAAGAGGAGAAGAGGGAGAGGAGAAGAGGGAGAGGAGAAGAGGAGGGAGAGGAGTGACACAAAAAAAGAGAGAGAGAGAGAAGAGGAAAGGAGGAGAAGAATGAGAGAAAAAGAGAAGGGAGAGAAGAGGAGAGAGAGAGGAGAGGAGGGAGAAAGAAGAGGAGGGAGAGAAGCATAGGAGGAGGGAGAGAGGAGGGAGAGGAGGGAGAGGAGGAAGAGCTGGACAAGAAGGAGATATTATAATATTGTGCCTGAAAACATTGTGTGTTAGGCTTTATACACATGTATTCCACATTACCATCATTATAATCATCCCTAATTTTTAACATTGCTTGGATGGATACGTACCCATTGAATGGTTTGATGAGGTCATCATTCTGGACCGGTGGAGGTAAGGGTGTTGATTTGGTAGACATGTTGATATCTCCTATGATACGGAGCGCTTCTTTGGTTGCCTGGTACATCCGAAGCATCTCATCACGACGCTGAGCTTCATCCGCACTCTCCTCCATCAGCGACCCCTAACAACCAAAGAAACAAAGAAGAAAATTAGTTCAAATGATCTAAAGCATCTCATCTACACTCACTTCGATCAACAATGCCCAACAACCAAAGAAACATATCACTTAGGCTAATCACTTGTTTCATCATAGCTCTGCATTCGAATGTACTATTATTAATAGCACAACATTTTTTTCTTTATGCATTATAATTGTACATGTGAATTATTAGGTTGTTATTAAACTCAATGATACTGTATACCAATCCAAAGATAAAAGAAATTTCTTACTTAATCATATATCACAGAAGAAGTAATAATCAGAATTCTTGAATCATCGTTACAAATCCTTGTTTAGATATGACATGGAAAACCGCAGCATTTAACAAAAAAACGATGAGATAAAGTGTAATATGCTTCATATTTTTGTATCTCGTGACACAGAACTCAATGAGTAGATTGTAGGATCTTTTGTTGTACACAGTTTCCATTCATCTACACTGTAACAAAAAGTGTGTCCTTTTCTGTGGCTGTTTACCGGGCATACCTTAACAAATCTTTACTTGTTTCTGCTTTCATACCAGAGCTACTGAAGTTTTTTACAAATGGATGGGAGGATTGACCACTTATTAAACAGGGGCAGATCCAGAGGTAGCCCGGCCCCATCCCCTGGCCCAAAAAATAGGTAAAAGAAAAATAGATGGTAACGTTAATTTTACCTTTAAAAAAAAGAATACCCCCCCCCCTCCCCCGGCAAACAATTTTTTTGAAAATAGTGCTCACTACCCCCCCCCCCCCCCCCCCTCTCCCACGTGGGCCCCCTCCCTCGCCATCGGCTGGATCCGCCCCATTCACTTAATATTCACACAATATAAATAGAATGTATTCTCTACTGACTTATATATTTACAAATAACACATGAAGCTTTGTCTTACACATATTAAATTTGAAAAGCCAAATAAAACTTCTTACCTGATCTTGATTTGAATATAAATGAGCCAGCATCTCAGACAGAATAAATTCCTTGGTCTGATGAGACAAACAAAAGAACAAAAACGAAACGATAGATATTAATTCATGGTGAACACGATTGGCTTTCAGGAGTAGAAATATGACGGTAGCAGAGAAATGACCATAAGAGAGATGTAGAGGAGAGAAGGTGGAAGATCATTTGCAAGATAATCAATGTTTGTACCCTTTAAAACATTTAATTCATATGAGAATAAAATAATCACTCTTAAGAATGGAACAACATACATAATATAAACACCTTTCACCCAATTATATCAAAGTACATGTTATTATCATTAGACTACAACCCTTAAAGACCCTATCTGAGGCCAAAAATGAAATAGATAAACTATATTTCTACGGAGAGCTTGTTATTCATTGAATACACCAATACAAACTTCATGAGATTTAATTGCCTACACGAGGAGTAATAGCATCTAAAACCTGTGGAGTGGAGGGCTTGGAAAATGGGCAGCCACCGAGTAAAATCGAGGGGTTTATTTTCATGGCGTCATTTTGTGTAGACGTCGCGAAACATTATGACACAAGTCTGAATGCTAGCTACACATTCTGGCCAGATTAGTAATAACTTCCAGAACATCCTAAAAATGCTCTAAAATAACTAGGAATACCCAAAATGATCAAATATACCTTCTTGATGCAGAATAACTAGTCCAAGGTCAACATTGAAGGTCATTTGGTTGAAATAGGCGTTTTTCTGGGACAATGCAATCCTTTTCCTAACCGTGTGTAAGTATGGCTGCGCTAGTTCACAGGTGTGCCCATACTTTGGCGCCTGCAGCCTACCCATGACCTCCACTTCTCTACTTTAAATATCATGAACATGTGAAAAGTCAGACTGAAATCTACTAGCAACTTACATCGTTTATCATGAGAGCCATACATGTCTTTGGTACCATGTCTTTAATCTGTTTGCTGATGATACTCAAACAGATATGTCAACAAATATCATTAACATGTGAAAAGTCAGACTGAAAGCTACTAGCAACTTACATCATTTATCATGAGAGCCATACATGTCTTTGGTACCATGTCTTTAATCTGTTTGCTGATGATACTCATGTAGGAGTCTACCAGGTTCCTGATGGTTTCCACCTGTCTCTCAAGCTGGGGGTCCATCGATACAGTGTTATCCCCCGCTCTCTGGTGTAAAAAAAAAAAATCACGAATCAGATTAGATACTTGTCTAATGGCAGCAAGAGGGGCATTAAAGGGATGGGGTGTCTTTGTCTCAGATTCTGAAACAAAATCCTGGGTTAGCTCATGCTGCAATGATAGTTATAAACCTTTGGGTCAGTCAGGAACCCAGTGACTTTTACAAGCTGATCGCCTGTCTGATTATCAAGATATTTATGATTGAAAATCAAAATTTCAAAATGTCAAAAGTTTTCCTAACGGTTTTTATATGAAAATGAGTATGGTAAAACCGATCACTGAAAGATTTCAATTTTTGGAGGCACTTCATGATCATTTTGAAGCGCAATTTTGTTAGGGTTTCAATATTACACCATATCACAGACACTGATAACACGTACATGTAGGGCCATGCATCTCAAATTTAACATTCTTAAACGATTCTTTAAGTAAAAATCTTTAAAATAATACCAGCATGGGTTCTCCTAGGGACTTTGATATCATTCTGGTATTCACAAGTAGCAGATTTTACCAATTACCAGAATTAGCCTTTGCTTTTATGACCGGTCATTGGATTCTATTGCTAATCTACGAACATCATTATACGATCATATGATCGAGCACAAGCTCCACTCCCTGGGGATTATTCCGGCCAGGCGTCATTTCACGAGACCACATCTGCCAATCCAGCCAGAATAACATTCAAATCCTACTGGGTACCCATTTACCACCTGGGTGGAGAGTGGCGAATGTAGATTAATGTCTTGCCAAAGGATGTTAGTACAGAGAACCATGTGATCCACATTCCGGTCACACATGCACCAGACCACAACATTACCTATATTATACAAATAATGAATGGTTATGAGTTCAATAGTGCGAATATGTTCATGAGTTGAAAGATTAACATTCTATTCAACGAGGCGTCAGCCGAGTTGAATAGAATTAACGTTAATCTTTCAACGAATGAACATATTTGCACTATTAAACGAATGAAAAACATTCATTATTTGTTTTATACAACATCGAAGAAGACCTAATAGAACGTTAATCAACAAATTATGCTTTACTCCTTATAAAGATAAATTAAAGTTCGAGTCAAGCCTTCTCGATTACATGCAGATTGCCTTCGCGTCAGATACACGCAGGGATACGCGCACATGCAGCAGAGAGGTATACGCAGTCTGCATATAACCAAAAATGCACGGCGCATATAACCAAAAATGCACGACCGTGCAATATACCATCTATTGAATATCATGTGACCAACAATCGTCCAATCAAATGACAAGGATCCACGTAGGTGTTGTATAAATTATATTAATTTATTTATATTTATAGGCATTTCTATAGCACCTTCTATCTAGAAATTCTATTTCCGAGGCGCATTATTATTACCCGGCTTTAGCCTAGCTGCCATTACAGCGCTCCAGCATTTCAAGAAATTAATTCCTGCCAGGTACCATTTACCTCACCTGGGTCGAGTGAGGCAAATGAAGATTAATGCCTTGCCAAAGGACATTAGCGCCGTATCGGGGATCAACCATGACCATTGAATTTCAGTGCTTATAGCGCTATAGTTCTCCTTAAAACTATAAGCTAAGAAAGATAACCAACAGTCTTTTTCAAGACTACACAAACAGTCCTTTTCAGGCCTACACACCCTCAAGAAAGATTACAGAGTCCTTTTTCAGGACTTCTTAATCCTCTCTCTCTCTCACATGGTGCACCCGCAGGCCTACTGTATTTCTACAACATAAATAAGCATAACATTTATAATAAACAAACCTGCTCGTCATCTTCATCGTTCTCTTTGTTTCTCTCCGGATAGACTCCAGCTCTAAGGAAAGATGCCTTCCAACTGTCCACTTCTTCTGAGGTCTGACAAGACAGCTCGAGGGTCTTGTGGTCCTTGTAGATATTCCTAAGAAGAAGATAATAATAATAATGATAATAATGATAGGAATAAAAGTAATAATAATATCAATAATAATCATTTTAATACTACTAATACTAATAAAAATAATGATGATGATGATGATTACGATGATGATATTATCACATTGACATAGAATTTCCTTATAGATCTAAATGAAGAAACTGTGCTTCGAACTGGCATATATACACAGAGCTGCCAACCTCCAGCACAGAAAATCAGTAATCACAAGGCTCAAAATCAGTAATTTGGGGTATAAATCAGTAATTTCCTATGCGGCGCTATGAATCTATAAAAAAAACGGCACGCCAATACTGCGCGGACGAATGGGCGTATGATTATCTGACATTTTTGGTGATTATACTCACACAAAGTTGTTAAATATTGAGTTTCAAGTCACCGTTTTCCATGAAAAATGGCTTCTATTAAGAGAAAACTTGATACTTTTCTGTCTTTCTCAGCGAGTTTCTATAAATCATATTTGAAAATTAAAAAAAATAAAAAAAATAAAAAAAAAAAAAAAAAAAAAAAAAAAAAAAAATCATTTTTATTTTTTAAATCCGTAATTTGAGACAACATTCCGTAATGGTCGTTAATTTCCGTACCAATTACGGGAAATCCGTACTAGTTGGCAGCTCTGTATACATGTATTATAACTTTATCTCACTCTTTATATTTGATTGACTTATTGATTAACTGATATGTTTCATTATTAAAATCATTAAAAACATGTTAAATTTACATATTAAGAGAAAAAAAACTTCCTTTACAATACAATACATTAATTGTTGATTCAATAGAATACATAATATACACATAGAAATTACATTGAATAATAACATCAATAAGGAAGTGATATACTTCCTGTACTGTACTTTCTTGTCCTCTTTACATATATTTGTATTTGTAAGCACTATGGTACTCATTGTTTTTAGCGCTCCTAAATATTCGATATTATTATTATCATTAAATAAAGTAGACATAGAAGGGAAAAGAAGAAGAGCAAGATAGAGAAATGGAAAATTTATATATCAGGCATGCCAGTTAGAATTGATCAGAGGGCCTGAAAATCAGCTAGAATGAGCTATTTTGTACACAAAAAAGCCTAAACTATGGTCTGAAAATGACTCGCCATGGCCTGAAAACTGGCATCCCTGATATATATATATGCAGAACAATTGCACACAAATTACTACAAAAGCATTATGATTAAAATATGAACATTCTTAAAATCAGTTCTTGGAGTTCTTAGAATTTCCTAAGCAAGATAGAATGATGGTCATGAATGAACACAGAGGGGGAAAGCAATCAGCTCAGCCTTGTGAATTTGACAGCAATTGCATTATTCAGTCACCGTTTTCACTCCGAGAGTCCTGTAGATCTTGCAGATGTTTATTAGAGAGGAGCAATCTTGATCATGAAATTAACCAAGACAAATACAAAACTTATGAAAGGTCTAACTACATCAGCTCTGCCTCATCAGATTGGCAATAATTGTAATTAAATTTACATCGTTTACATTTTAAAGAGTATTGTGGTTCTTGTAGATGTTCCATCAAGAGAAAATACGATGATCATTATCGCATCAACCGAAAGAGGAACAGAAATTTATAAAAATTTATAAAAGTGAGTCAGCTTTGCCTTCTCAAATTGGCAACAACTAGTGAATTTTTATTTCACTCTTCATGTTCTAGAGATCACACCCACAATTCATGTTCCCAACCCTCTAGCAAAAATAATTACAGAGTTTCAGAAATAAGATTGAAGTTATCCTCGGCCTTATCATAAGGAAATTCAAGCTAGCAGGGCAATCAAATAACCTTGCTAATCAGGAACTGCTCGAGGTTACAGTTCACATCCTGTCATGTTACTCCTGAGTGGAAGCAACAAGCATTTCCCACGCAGGATACATGAAATACTATGTTTAGGTTGATACACACGAATATATTGCCTGAGCTGTTTAGTAACGATAGCTGCTTAACTCTTATCATGCCACAGAGCTAATCCCTAGTGTGCCAAGCCCCAAATCCCCCCGTGCCAGGTTGTTTTGGAGATAATCTGATTAACGCGATGGTTCTATGAATGGCGAGTGCAAAACACATAGCACAGTCCAATGAGCATGAACAATAACTGCTATTACGAAAGCGCCCTTGCACGCACATGGCACTCAATAGGTAGCTCTCTCGCATGTACGAAGCAGCATAGCGATAGCGTGCATGCAGCCTTATGGCAGGCTATGAGTTAAAGTGGACCAGACTGTCGGGCAGCAATCAAACATTTCTCCTCAAATTTGTCTCACGTGCGTTTGATCGAAGGAAAATTAAAGGTAAAGACCAGTTCTGGTCATGCGACTGCATTGTGAAACGTTGTGGAATCGATCAGAAAAGGTTGATCATCTAGCATATCAGTATTGGTGTGTACTGCAAGGTTCTGGAATGATCAAAATGATAAGAAAATTGGCCCAGTCTTAAAGTTACAACCCCTGCACTGTAGGCGGTTTGAGGCAAAATTTGTATCATCACGTATTAGTCAAAACATATTCATTCACATGATTGGTAATAAGAGCTTCCATTTCATTTTTTGAGAGGGGGGCGTTTCCAAAACTGGTCTGTACCTTTAAACAGGAGGGAAGAGGAGAAGCCAATTTCATTTGATTACAATTTTGTTCAACTTTTTTCCTCGAAACATGCCATACTAACAGACAAGCTCAATTCTAATACCAGAGAAAATATTTTAAATGATTTGAATTCACAGACAAAGCTGTTTTAATACCGTTGATCAGGGTTGAAGATAGAGAAAGCATTTTTCTTAGCCATGAATCCAATTTCTCCGTCTCTCAGCTTGAGGCCATCAAGCTGCATCATGTACTTGTTCTCTTTCTCCTAAAAAAAAGGGAGAAAATCAACAATTTAATATTAATAAAAATAATAATAGTGGGTTCTTGTATAGCGCTCATGTCTGTCATACGTGACACTCCTGGTGCTCCCAATTATTACCCTGGCTTTAGCACGGCTGCCATAGGGCGCTCTAGCATTTCAAGGAATTAATTCCTGCCAGGTACCCATTTACATCACCTGGGTTGAGTGTGGCCAATGTGCATCAATGTCTTGCCAAAGGACATTAGTGCCGCGGCGGGACTCGAACAGCGGCCCTTGTGATCGACCATGACACCATTTCTGAGTCATCACGCAACCACTTCCCGATCTCTAGCAAAAGTAAGAGCCATGAAGTTGGCCCCTTACTTATCATCAAATATTCAAAAGAGAGGTTCTTATATACTGTAGTCACGTTAGAATTGTATTGCCAGTACACAACATTACGGTGGCGAATATTACTTTTTACCATGCTAGTGAATCGGCATGGAGAAAACTCAGTTCAATTTCTGTCTAATATGCAACCTTTCTATCTAGCAGTTGTATGAGAAGTCTATGGTCTTACCAGGGGTGATAGTGAGCACTAAAAAAATAAAAATATGTTTCCCCCCTCAACTACGCCCCCCTTGAGTAAAAAAAAAAGAAAGAAAGAAAAGGATTCGGTGTGGGGGGGGGGGGGAATGTCATCTAACAACATTCCCCCCCCCCCCCCTTTGAGTAAGAAAATTGGGGAAAATAGGGAAGAATACAGAAAATAAGAGAAAAATAGGGAAAATGGGGATAAAATCGGGAAGAAGAAGAACAAAAATTGGGGGGAAAAAATATAAAAATAAATTGGGAAGGAAAAAAAAAATTCAGGAAAATAATAAAAAAATCAGGAAATCAATTTAAATCGGGTAATTATCAGGCCTTTGTCTTACCTCTTCATCTTTGTACCATCCTAGAGACTCGGCAGTGAGAACAAACCAGTAATCTTTCGCTCCTCCTTTCATGAAGCTGATGTTGTGAAGATTCACCCAGCCTTTCCTAATCACCTGATAGAAATAAACACAATAACGTACATCCTTCAGCGATAATGCTCAAACAAACTGAATGTTGATATCAATAAATTCAACTCTTATATCAATTACATCATATTCACTGTTAAATGGTTGTTCCTTATAAAGTAAAAAATGATTACTGCATATAAACAGTACAATGCAATTTGAAATTATACCAATTTATGAATTTTCAGCATGAATTTGAATAATCATGAATATCTTTTCTTCTGTCTTAATTCCCCCCATATAATGAAATCCTGCAATGCTCATACATGGGTCAAAATTATAGAACAATTCTAGTAACATTTATTCCAGCATTTTATGGATAGATAGAATTTATTTGAAATCAAAATGCCATTTGCATGATATGCACTTCTATGATAACTAGTATGAATCCATATTAATTTGAAAGGGTTCTACATTTCATAAAACTTTGCTTCTATGCAAAATGAGACTAATAGAAATTTCCTAATTGTACAGTATATAAAGCAAACTCTACATTATAACAATAACTGCAATATGTACTATGAACATCACTGACAAAGAAAGCGGACAAAATATACAGTTCCTCAGGTAGACAAAGGAACATCCCTTCACTGCTATTTTTATAAAAATGTGTAGAACAGGTGTCACATGCATATTCACTTTTTACATAATAGCAGTGAAGGGATGTTCCTTTGTCTACCTGAGGAACTGTATATTTTGTCCGCTTTCTTTGTCAGTCATATTCATAGTGATGGTGATATAACAGCAGATTTATAATTATGTATACTTCAATTTTCAATGTTACTCCCCACAAGGACATGCACATTAGTTTACATGCACAGGCAAGTTGTTAATTAATCAGGGGATGTTTCACAAAGATCCTAAGATGAACTTATCTCTAAGTTGGACTTAAAACTTATGAAAAGCCGTTAGCATCTTTGGAAATGTTTTGTAAAAGTTATTTAAAAAGGCATAAAATGTTAATTCAAGTCATTCATATTTTCTATTATCAAGGAGATTTCATGTTCTTGATTTGGAATTTATAAAAAGTCTAAAAACTTGAATTTTCGCTTTTGAATATATTTGATTTTAAAGCTATAAATGGCTCTCCATAATATTTAAGTCTAACTTAGAGTTAAGTTTGACTTAAGATCTTTGTGAAACACCCCCCAGACAAACTGTTAGTCATAATAGCGATAGCATTAATCACTTGCAGAGAACCAAATGATTACTTATTCTTTCTATCTAACGGTTGTATGAAAAGTCTACGGTCTTAACTCTTCACTATTTTGCCAGCCCCGAGACTCAGCAGTGAGATCAAACCAGTTCAATTGCTTGATAATACATGTGTATGTACCTTTCTTTATTTGTTTGAATTTTTAAAAAAATGACTACGTCACATCTATAGGAACATGCTCCTGAAGTGATTTAAATTATTTAAAGATAAAGTTGAGTACTCGTCATGCGGTTGTATCGTGAAATAAACGGTGTGGAATTGATCACAAAGAGTTGATCATGTAGGATATAAGTATTGGTGTGTACTGCAAGGTTCTGGAGTCATCAAAATGATAAGAAATTTGGCCTAGTCTTGGTAAAGAAGCAAGCACTGTACACAGAAAGATGTACATGGGACTACACAAACATGTGGCATAAAAATCGGGCCTCATTTTTAAGCTGTTACTTGTCATATTTAGAATATAAAGGCATTTGAAGAGCCATGCATTTCAGGGAACATTTTTTCTCTGATGTTCTTCCACACTTGCATAATAACAATGATAACACTCATAAATTATTTTTCACCTCTCCCCAGAACTCAACCATCTCTTTAACTATTTGTATTTTGGTCGTAAGTGATTTGTAATTATGTACATTGATGTAATTTGTAATGCAAATTCTGTATACCTTTACATGTATCCTTTACTTATCAATTATTTTCCTTCTAAACTGCTTCGAAGCAATATGCAATTTGTGGTATACAAATATCTTATTATTATTATTATTATTATTAACTGACTTGTTGAAAAATGTATCTGAAAAATTAGCATGTTCTATGTATTGTAATATTAGAGCTATTGTTAATGTTTGTTTATTTATCATGTTTTAGCTTTGGTTTTTGTTTAAGTCTGCTATGCTCTGAAAATCATCAAGATATTTATTTTTTAAAGAGTATGTTTGATGATGATATCTGTTATTCAGTTATTGTAATGATTGATATTATAGCTACGCAATTATATGTTATCTCATGATGCATTTATACTGTGCATGTATCTGCCATTCGGCATTTAAATTGTTACATGCATGTTTAAATTTTCCAAATAAAATGACATTTAATAGCTTGGTTAGGTGTATTTGTGTGTGCACCTTGGAAGGTTGTCTTCTGACTAGCTCTGTAAAAGTGAACATTATTTCAGTTTTCATCGCACTGTACTTCATTTTAGTTTGCACCAGGGAGTGTTTCACAAAGACTAAGATTGACTTTAAGTTGGACTTAACCTATGGCAGGCCATTCATGCCACTGGTTGCTCTCACTATTGGTCTCTTAATTATGATCTGAGGATAATATTTTTTCCTCAAATAATGAACTATCAAAAAATGTAATTTCTGTAGATTAGTGACCACGATTTATACGTCCCTTGAGAAACCAATGTCAGGAATGGTTCGAGGAACTAGTGGTATGAACTACCTGCTATAGTTAAGTCCAACTTAAAGTCGATCTTAGTCTTTGTGAAACACCCCCCAGATGTTTTAGTAGACATCAAGGTACAATTTAAATGATTTCATGCGACTTCTTATATTTAAGAACTTTGAATGACACATTTCTCATACTTCTAGACTCCTTTAATTAAGCTTAATGAAAAATTACCATTTATTAATTTTTACCATCTGATACAACTTACCCTAAGTTACTTTATATACATGTAAGCCTTCAAATTTTGATGAAAAGCGGATACCAGTAATTTTAATTCCCTAATTGTTTTTGTTTGTAAGGCAATATTTAAATGTTATCATTGTACATTGCATAGCTCCTTTCATTTGTATTTATATGTATTTGTAGAATATTGTGTATGATTCTTCTGAATGTGTAAGATGTTTTTAATGTTTTAAATTCTGTTAATTCATTTGTAATTCAGCCTTTGGCTACAATGAGTGAATAAAATACCTTCAATTGCATTAAATTGAATTGAAAAGGGCAAGATAATGGAAACAGACTGCCAAGAGGTTAAACAATTTAGGGAAAATGGCTAAATAAAAAAAAATTAAATTCTCATAAGGAGTAATGATACTTTTATCATTAATTTTTGTTTACATTCTCATTAATCAAATATCCTTTGTAAAATTCACAACTTCGAATATCTTTATAAAATACATGTTATTTGTTTAATTTCCTTTCATGCATCTATGATAAATGTCAACTAAAAAAATATATATATATATATATATATTTTTTTAAAGAGATAAGCTCCCACGGTGCATCATTAAAAATTAGCATGTTCTATGTATTGTAATATTTTAGAGGTATTGCATGAATGAGCATATTTATCTTTCAAAAGTTTTTTTTTTTTAATTTTTGTTGTTTATCATTTTTTAGCTTTGTTTTTTAACAATCTCCCATGCTGCATCATTCAAAAGTTGAACAAATTTTCTCATTTTGTATTCTCTTTCTGAATAACTCTGAATAACTCCTGTAACTAGATTGCTCCCAATTAAGCCTACCGGTATTAGAATTAAAGAACTCGGAAGTCAACGGATTAAGGAAGCACCGTAGCTACTGATAAAGGCATGAATTTGAAGAAGAAAAATGTATACCGATATGAATTCTCTGAGCTCGTTGGGGATTAAGCATACATGTTATATACTTTTTTTCTTCTCTCCAATACCAGTTTTTGTTTATTAAACTCTAGTGACATAATGTAACGTAAAATAGGTAAAGTCATGCTGATTTTTTAGTGTTTTCTCTAAACCAAATTACTCTGGAGTTAGTGAACTTGCATTCAAATGTTAGATAACAGCGCATCATATCAGTCCAAATAAGCTTGCATCCCTAACATCTTTCATGTAAGGCAATATTTACTTTTATACAAAAAGACCAAAATCATGATTAAACTCGTCAAAAGCTGGTGGTCCAGCATGGCAAACCATTTTTCACCGAATCTTGCCATACAGTATTTTGAAAAAGTTTGGAGACCAGCTGTTTTTTTTCTGGCTGCAATGCATAAGAATATAAGAAATAATCTTTCCGAGTAAAATCATGCAGGAAAAGTTACTAAAGATACATGACAATGAACCCTTCTACAAACATGTTTCAATTTCAAGGCTATTTGTCAATTGGATGCTAAATTTCAATAAGTCCCATGAAAAAAAAACTCTACTTTTCGGTTATATTGCAACCAAAGTCAAATCAAGATACGGTTTGTTTGTGTATTATATACAATTGTAATAGAATATATTGATGATTTTACTATTGATTTGAGAGTTAATTCTAAAAGGGCCTGGTTTGATAACCAAAGATTAGGCAGCTGCATTTTGCAATGCTTGGTTAAAGCTTGGTTACGCTACAGATGCAAGGTTACATAACATTGTGATGCAAGCTGTGTTAGTTTTCCTTTTTTTTTAGAACAGAGTAATATTTCTCTTTATCAACAAGTATAAAGGTAGCAGAGGCTATACCTGATTGGGAATCTTTTTTTGGTGATCACGGCCAGTCCTCTTTGCTTTAGCAGCACTGGAAAAACATGCAGTGGGGGGGACATCACATCATAATTAGTAACAGCACATCAAAGTCTACAAGTCGGACTACATCAATTTTTTTTACAACTACCCTTAATGCAATCTATCCTCTACTGTCATGTTTTATATTAGAATGGACACAAGAAACATGGCTGAATTATGATGAAGGTGGGATATTATCTCGTTTTGGTTTCATTGAAGGAGGATAGGTTGATGATTATGAGAATGAATTAGTGAGATTACAGAAAAGAGGAAATGATTATTGTCAGTTTGGGGTATTAATGCAAAGATTGTGGACAGTCAAAAAGCAGCATCACATGTATAGTGCAATTAAGAACATTTTTTTTTTTTTTTTTAATAGCAGGCTGTGAATGTCATCAGTTCTGGGGTATGCAGGCTCTTTATATCTATTAAGAAGTTGGGGGTAAAAAAGCATAGTCAAAAGTCTTGACTAAGTTGCCTTTGATTAAAGGGATCCGGTAACTTTGTCTTAGATCCTTTAAAAAAATCCTTGATTTAGCTCATGCTGCAATGATAATTATAAACCTTTAGGTCAGTCAGGAACCATGACGTTTACAAGCCGATCGGCTGTCTGATTATCAAGATATTTATGATTGAAAATCGAAATCAAATTTTGCGTTTGCCAAATGGTTTTCATAAAACTACAGTCTATTGGGGAAAAGGAGTATGGTAAAACCTGTCACTCAAAGGTTTGTACTTTTTTGAGGCACTTCTTGATCATTTTGAAGCGCAATTTTTTTAGGGCTTCAATATGACACCATATCACAGACACTGATAACACGTAGGGCCGTGCATCTCAGATTTAACATTGTTAAACGGTCCCTTTAAAGTCTTGATTAAAGTCTGTGCGGTTGTTGGACAATACGTACCATCTTTGAATCATGAATAGTAATTTTGCCCATCTACAATGCAGTCATAAAAACCCCATCTGACATTTTTTGTTTAAATGGGCAGTTGGACAATTTGCAACATGAAGTACAAGCTCAGGTTTTGAGGGGATCGGAAAGAGGAAAGTGGAAGCGTGAATACACATACCACCATATAAAGTGGTGGATGGATGTGAGCAAGCTTCTTTGAAACACCATTTGTGACAGATGCTTGAGGACTTTCAAAAGAATACATTAAAACAAAAGTAAAAAACAAGAAACAAAAGAAAAGATATTAAAATATAGTCGAAAGCAAAGGTGGGAATATACAAAACAAAATAAAAAAGAAATGAAACAAAATAGAAATGCACAAGGATAAAATAGAAACCAGACGTTTCTTAACGAACCAATAACCAATAGATAGAGCATGGCAACGAGACGTTTTGACACACAGATGTTAGGTAGCAAAAAAGCAAATGGTTGACTAAACATCAACTGTTTTTCAAAAGTTTTTACCTGGTTACCCAATTTCTTTTTCTGGCCTCCATCAGTTTTATTCTGTGCACTGATGTCATGGCAACAAGAAATGGAATGGGAAACAGTAATATGCATGCATCACGACATTTACAGAAAATTGGACAGACTTTGTCTTTATACACAGCTCCACAATTTCTCAACCGAATTTAGAATGCTAGTACTTCTGAACTGATTTTCAAATGCAACCGTAGAGAAGTTTGTATGTGTCATTTGTAATCTTATTGATTCAGACTTTTTTGTCTCCAGCCCATGTGCCAACATATATCTTCACCACTGCTTCTGAAGTCATAAATGTCAGAATCTAATTTAAATTCAATTAATATTATCAAATGTACATTAATAAGATTAAATTTGTTATGAATTCTCCTTCCTCCTTTTGAAAGTACATGCATACAATGTAGACAATTCTCTAGAACCCATAGAATAAAATGGCTGTTAAAGACACATCAAAATTCAACAATTGTTCAGAGCCATGTATGTTTGTACTGAGGAAATAGCCACTCATGCTGAATGAAAAAGCAAAACAAAAGGTAAGCTTAAATGTTACATTCAGCCTTCTTTCAAAATCAAAATTTGATTATGGGCTGTATACAGACACACTGATGGCAAATGATGAAACATAAACATTTACATGTCTTAGTCTGATTTAGAAGAAAACAGATAATAAATAGGGCTGGTAGCGGTGATGTAAAAATGTATGAGAAACTCATACATAAATGTTAGAACAAATATCATGAAAACTACAAAATTTGACTTGAATTTGAAGTATCAGTATCGATGGTTTAAACAAAATTAATCCAGGAAATGTGAATATCGAAAAAGATGAGAAATATTTAATACTTGATGATGAGATGGGACTGTGTTGGTCATAAAATGTAAATTGGTATGGGTGTGTTGAAAGAATAATAATAATTTAACTGACAGAAGAAAACAAATTGAAAAAGCATTGGAAATGAATACGGATAATGGTCCTCAGGACCGTGAATATTGCGATGAAGGACAGAAACGCAGAACATACAAATTGGAATTGCATTTAATAGAAACTGACAATAAAATGTCATGTAATTTTAGGAGATTGAATCAAAATTATTAAAGTAATAAGTGTTTAAAAAGTCTGCAATTCAATAATCAAAACAAGTACATGAATGTACACTAGCAAGCATATTTCTTGGTTTCAACAAAGGGAAATTAATAATTCATCATCAAATATATTTGAGCAAGATAAAAATGCTTGTAAAGGATCATATTCTGCTTCAGGGGCAAGAGGGACAAATTTGAAAATTAAATTTGAAGAATATATATTATTTATTCAAAAGATGAAACAACACCTCATTAACATACATCTAAACAGCATATTTCATGAACTTAAAATTCAATTTTCAATAATACAATTGATTTCTACAAAAGTATAGTTTGATTTCAGTCATAAAACTTGATGGATATATTCAAATCTATATGAAGAGTTACGAAGATCAAGTTGAATTGAGGTTTGAAACAAAATGGTGATCACTAAAAGTGATTTAAGAGAGGAATTTACGATTATTTTTCTTTTGTAATACACCATTCCATATTTGCTCTACCTGAAATGTGTATTTACTAGATAATATCATTTTAAAAAAGTGATATTTTAGCCTAGAGTATGTTTTCTTGGCAGAGTCCCTACACAGTGCGGATAAGAATAAAGAAAGGGGAACTGACTTAGCGAATCCGATGAAATCGTCATGGTTTGTGTTCATGTAGGCTAGCTGGATGTTGATCAGCATGATGACTTGGTCTTTGGTTTTAGCCTCACGCTCACGAATATGTGTGCAGACAATGCGCTCGGTCTCCTCACGTAATCGTGGATACCTCGCCATCTGGAAGAGCAAAATAAGATATCAACTTAGAGGGATTGGGTAACTTTGTCTCAGATTCAGAAACAAAATCCTGGATTTAGCTCATGCTGCAATGATATTTATAAACCTTAAGGTCAGTCAGGAACCCCATGACTTTTACAAGCGGATCGCCTGTCTGATTATCAAGATATTTATTATCGGAAATCAAAATTTAAAAATTTGTTTTCCTAACAGTATTGATATTGGGATACTTATATAGCGCACATATCCACTATGCATGGTGCTCAAGGCGCTCCAACTATTACCCCGGCTCTGCTAGGCAGCCGATTTCAGCGCTCACAGCATTCAAGGAAATCCTTCCTACTGTTACCCATTTAACACCTGGGTGGAGAGTGGCAAATGTAGATTAATATCTTGCCCAAGGACATTAGTGCCGTGGCGGGACTTGAACCGTGGACCCTGTGATCCACAGTCCAACGACTTATCCACTAGACCACAGCACCTCTAACTCTATGAGTAGGGAGACATAGTACGTACCCCTTCCCCCGAGTGCCTGACCACGTCGTTGAGTTCGTTGACCACCATATCGACACATTTGATGGAGGGTTCCTTCAGACGGCCGATTTGTTTCTTGGTGATTGCTTCAAACGCCATGTCTGGTGTGAACAGACCCACCCTGCGAGCAAAGCATCAAATAATCACTTATCAAATTGGCAACTTATTTTAAATTTTTATTTTTTTCCATATTTTTCCCTCCACAGGGATTTTATTGATTTTCATTTGCAACAAATTAACAAATATAATATATTCAAGGTAATTTACATTTATAACATAAATAAAATTGGCTTCTCAAGAAACAAGTATTGTTGAACTGTTGAGTTAACAGAAAACTAACACATTTTCAATAATTGGAAAGAAAAAAAATACAGAAAAATATCATTTTATGTAAACAATTTCCTGAATTGGCAACTTATGGGTGTAATGAAGTAAGCTTTTAATACAAGCTGTAAAAAGCAATGAAGATTTCTTAAAGATCAACACTATTGACACGGAAATAAACTCTTAAAATAATTTGATAGTCATATGATAAAGAAGGGATGCCTAATTTTATTCACTCTTATCCCATGTTCTGATTTGTGTGAATTCACCTAACAACAAAAATAATTATGAGTTTGTGTCGAAAAAGGAAAATTTTGTAAACAAATTTTCTATTTTTCTTATGTCAACAAAATCAATAACTTTTATCATTTATTTTCACAACTCTTAAACAAACTTCCACTGTATATCTACAAATAATAAAATATGATAATAACACTGACCATAAAACAAGATAAATAATACAAGGCCACATGCACCCTACCGTTACAGTTCTTGGTACACGCGAGCGCGCTATCGATTGGCTGCTTAATACACGGGAGCGAGCCATCGCTTTGCTGCTTCATGCATGCTTGCTCGCATTTGTAATAGCAGTTATTGTTCATGCTCATTGTACTGTGCTGAGTGCTTTGCACCCGCTATTGATCGTACCATCGCGCGCATCAGATTATCTAAAAATAAACTTGGCACAGGGGGGATGTATTCATTATGGCAGGATAAGAGTTAAAAAATTTCTAAAAGAAGTTTGTGGTACCTGACACCATGGATGTTCTTGATAGCATAGCTGATCTCCCTCCGAAGCTCTTTCTCGTCATACTCCATCTTAACTACCTCAAATGGAAACCTCTCATGGAAGATCCTGTTGATCCGGGCTCCTCCCGACAGCTCGTTGACGTTGATCTCGTCTCCGGAACCCTCGATGCGCTTCTCAAAGTTCACTCCAAAGTGCTGGACCATTCTATACAGGGATAAGAACGACATTGATAATAGACAACAAGAAACAATTAATACAAACAATAAACACAACATCAACAAGAAGAAATAAACACACACACGTACACACACATAAATAATAATAATAATAATATTGCTAACTTCTAATAATAATTATAATGAACGTTATTTATACAGCGCATATCACTAACACAAAGAAAGACCCTATGCGCTTAGAAGAGAAGGAAATAGAGATAGAGCAGAAAAGAAATGAACATTTATGCCTGATACATAAAAATAATTATTTGCAAACAACAATAATGATACGCTTCTAAAAAGCTCTATATAATAGCTGAGTAATTGACAGATATCTCAACTCATAAACCTCAGAGTTAACACCACAGTGCTGAACCATTCTCTCCAGGGCTAAGAACAATGACAAGCTGCATTTATACTAACATTTTGAAATATTCCAGACAGTGACATACATGTATCTACAGAGGGGAATGAGCCCTCCCAGTCAAATGGCAAAAATAAGGGGGGAGGGGGGGGGGGAGGGGGGGGGGGGGGGGGGGGAGGGGTAATAAAAAAATTTAAAAATAGTAAAGAAAGGTATAGGGGCAAAGGGGATGTGAAAATGATAGGACCCCTCCACACCCTTTGCCTAATCAGTGATTTTGTAAATTTGTATTTTCATATTTTATTCATCTCAAGAGACTAGCGCCAGTGAAACATATCACTTTAAAGTCATCATATTCCCTACACTAGCACTAGAGACTTCGGTGGTAAGTGCTTTATAAGCATCGTTTTTATCATTATTATTATTGTTGTTAACTAAGTTTGACTTACTGCAGCATTGCTTTTGTTTTCCTGGTGGGGTCGTCTGCACTGAAATTCTTGTATTCCGCGACCTCCTTCTCCATCGACAGCTCCTGAGCCTGCAGTCTGTTCCGAAGCGTGGGCAGTGAATCTCGGATGTGATTGGTCAGTTGCTGTCACATGCAAGAAAGAACAAAACCATGTATACGTCAAAGTGCGTCACAGAACCCCTGGAGGCGTTTCTCCTTTTATTCAATAAAACCCATACAATTCAAAATGACATTTCCACCCAACTTTCCAAATCAAACAATTAAAAATGTTTAAATGTCACTAAACTATTAACATTTTTTGACTTTTTTGTGCTTCACTATGATCAAAATAATAATAATAATGATATATGTCTTGTGAACCCAGGGTAGCCTCATCAGTATCAATAGTACTGTTCTCCCTGAGGGCCCTGCAATCATATCATTATAATCTTTTCCTATCTTTCAAAACTCTCTCAAAATTCTGTTGAAAAGGCATAGATTCATAGAGATTCCAACAGTACAAATATCACAAAGATATATTTTTTTCAAATTGCAGTCATTCTCTCAAGGATAGCATTCTTATGATCAGTCAATATGAGAAATAATAAATTTACTTATTAAAATAACAGGTAAACATAAATGATGTTCATAAAGTACCTTAAAGGCAACGTTTAACAATGTTTCCAATTTTACAAATCTGAGATGCATGGCGCTATGTGGTATCAGTGTCCGGACATGGTGAAATATTGAACCCAAACAAAATGGCGCTTCAAAATGATCATGAAGTGCTTAAAAATAGTAAAAATCTTTGAGTGACCGTTTTTTTTTACCATACCGGTTCTCATTTTCCCTAATAGACTGTAGTGTAATAATAAACGTTGGGAAAACGGTTTTTAAATTTCGAATTCCAATTTTTACTATCTTGATAATCAGACCAACGATCAGCTTCTAAAAGTCAAGGGATTCCTGACTGACCTAAAGGTTTACGATTATGATTGCAGCATGAGCTAAATACAAGATTTTGTTTAGAATCTGAGGCAAAGATACCCAATCCCTTTAAAGTGAAAGTTAATACATGCATATATATATATTTGTTACAGTAACAATTTGTTGTATACATGTCAAGTACACATCCTTATGACAAAGCCTCATCATGAAATTTTAGACCCGAGATATACATGTATATATTACAGCTCATGTTTCACCAGACATCTTGAACAGAAAAAGGTAAGGATATATACTCTAAGGGAGATTAAAACCAACTTGGTACAAAAGAAAACACTGACTCATTATTTCCTGTATATATGTAATTCAATCTATCAGCCACATGGTGAAGGATATATTATTACAGTAATGGAAGTTATTTCATCTCATAAAGGGATTGGGTATCTTTATCTCAGATTCTGAAACAAAATCCTGGATTTAGCTCATGCTGCAATCATAATTATAACCCATTAGGTCAGTCAGGAATCCCTTGACGTTTAAAAGCCGATAGCCCGTCTGATTATCAAGATATTCATGATTGGAAATCAAAATTTAATATTCTGTTTTCCTAATGGTTTTTACAACACTACAGTCTATTGGGGAAAATGAGTATGGTAAAACCGGTCACTCAAACATTGTTACTTTTTTTGAGGCACTTCATGATCATTTTGAAGTGCAATTGTGTCAGGGTTTCAATATTAATCCATTATATCACAGACACTGATAACACGTAGGGCCATGTATCTCAGATTTAACATTGTTAAACGATGCCTTTAAAGAGACGGTTGATTTCTGGGAAAGATTAACAATTAGTTGGTGAGCTGTCTCTTCTTCTTTTTAAATATCAGTTTGGAAATATATCATTGTACAGATGTTCCCTGAAAAGGATTGCTCATCAAATGTCCTCATATTTGACTAAAAACTAGGAAACCGCTGAACAGTTTGGAAATAACTTTCATGCCACATGTGTTTCAAGTCCTATGTACCCGTTTCGGTGTGCGGGCATGTGACTTTTAAGCGAGATTGTGTCAATTTCTTAATATCAATTTGATGATTCCAAACGCAACAGTCTACACCAATTACTACATAAGTACCGGTACTACATAATTAACATTTCCAAAGTGCTTCCCAAGACTTTCTTTCACAATGCACACCATAATCGCATGACCAAAACTTTATCTTTACAAAATCTAGATCGTACTCAAGCAGGAAATGAACAGAAATGTGAAAGTGAATGAGTATGTGATATATATATATATATATATATATATATATATATATATATAATGATGTCATTTCTTTCAATTTACACTGAAGTACAGTCCTCAGTTCTATTACACATTCTATCACATGTTCAAGGAGTAAGCCTGGGTATACCTCAAGTTCAAACTAATAGATATTTGGAGAGAAAAAAAATCATACAGACTCTGCAACGACTGCAATCCAACTGACTTTTTGCCATAGGAGGTAATTGTAATTGCTTGATCGGTTTGTTGTCAGTCTGGGGGGCGTTTCACAAAGATCCTATAAAGTCGAACTTAACTCTAAGTTGGACGTAAACATTATGGAGAGCCATTTGTAGCCTTAAAATGAAATATATTCAAAAGCAAAAATTCAAGTATTTTAGATTTTTCATAAATTTCACATCAAGAACATAAAATCTCCTTGATATTAAAAAATATGAATGATTTGAATCAACATTTTATGCCATTTAAAATGACTTTAACAAAATATTTTCAGAGATGCTAACGACTTTCAATAATTGTTAAGTTCAACTAAGGATCTTTGTGAAACACCCTCCTGGTGTTGGTCTGGTACCAGTCTCGTTGGTGTGAATTAGGTCTAATCGTTCATTCACTCTAAAATGGTACTTGTAACCCCCCCCCCCCCCCTCCTATGTTCATAAAATATTTACTATACCTGATTAAGGATTTTTTGCAGCCATGGAGTTCCCATCTTGTCAGCTATATGCCTGTATGACGGATGACTGAGAAAGAACTTGCGTTCAGCTGCGAGGGCAGCCTTTATGTCTTTCTTTCCCTCGATGTCTCGCTGCGACCTGTTCACGACACCGACGTAACCTGACATATAAACAGAAGAGATTTTGTTTGAATTATCAATTTTTTGATAGTATTGTCAATTTTAAGTTACAATACAACTTTTGATAATCCATCTAATTTTCAAAATGTACATGTATGTTCATGTGTTCTTTTATTGCGTAAAAAGTATTACTTTCCAACCATGATAATATCTGTATGTTCTTCCATTATGTTGTTCAATATGTATAACACCGTATTCTGTTGTTGTTTTTTACATTGATCCTTCAAAAGTGGAAAATAAAGTACAAGTTCAAGTTCGAGTTGATGAAATAAAGCTCAGGGCAATTGTCATCGAAGCAGGGGAGTGTTTCACAAAGACTAAGATCGACTTTAAATTGAACTTAACGTTGGCAGGCCATTCATGCCACTAGTTTCTATCATCGTTTTTAGCATTGGTTTCTCAAGGGACGTACCGATCGTGGTCACAAATCTACAGAATTTACCTTTTGTGATAGTTCATTATTGAAGGAAAAATAGTATCTAAAGATCAGAATTGAGAGACCAAAGGTGAGAGCAACCAGTGGCATGAATGGCCTGCCATAGTTATGTCCAACTTAAAGTTGATCTTAGTCTTTGTGAAACACTTCCCTGATGTGGGATGGATGATGACTGACCTCTCCTGAGTGGTAGAAGTTTGTTCTCCAGGATGTCCTTAGCGTCTGTTCCATCGTCCATCAGATCTAGCTTGGTGATGACACCGATGGTACGCACACCTAATCAACAGAAGGGTTAGAAATTTGAAAATCAAATGCTACAATGTTATTTTTTTATTTTATAAATGTAATGCTTCCTGGGAGAAAGTTCAATTGTTTAAACATATTTGTGGCTTACACCCAGTAAATAAGATTGATTGATCAATCTGTAATTGAAAAACAAGTTAGAAAAAATCTTGGAACCAGCAGGATTTGAACCTGTCATCTTGTAGAGTCGCTGTCCGGCAAGCAGTAGATGGCAGGTTCAAATCACGCTGGTTCCAAGTTTTTTTCTGACGTGTTTTTCAATGACAGATCAATCTTATTTACTGGGGGTAAACCACAAATGTGTTTAAACATTTACAATGTTATTGTTGCACAAGAAATTAATGCAAGAGAAGACAGGAATATAGCATCTGATGATAATGTATACAAATGTCACTGCAAAAGATGTAACATCAAGATTTGTATTTCTTCGCTAAGATTGTTAACTGAAGTGTACAAAATACCCCCCCCCCCCCCTTGATTTAAATCCCAAGACAACTGTCATATGAACATAACTATCCCTAGATTTAAATTCCAAGACAACTGTCCCGTGTACACACTACCACTTGATTTAAATCCAAAAACAAATGTCATATGAACACAACTACCTCTTGAGTTTAATCCCAAGAAAACTGTCCCATGAACACATCTACCCCTTAGGCACCCCTCTTAGGATGTAGTTAGGTATTTTACAATTATTAAAAGGGAATTTATATTATTAAAGGTAAGCTAAGCAATCAAGAAATCAATCACTGCATAATTCCTTGAGGAGATTTCCTAGCAATCAGGGGGGGGGGGCATTTCACAAAACTTGTCATCAGTGACAAATGACAGTTTTGGTTATAAGCTACAAAAATCCTTGCTTCTGATTAGTTATCAGCAGACTTGTCACTGTTTTTGTCACTTGTCATTGAAAAAAGGCGATGTGAAACGGATCCCTGGGGGGGGGGGGGCGTTTCACAAAACTTGTCATCAGTGACAAATGACAGTTTTGGTTATAAGCTAGTGAAATCCTTGCTTCTGATTGGTTATCAGCAGACTTGTCACTGATTTTAGTCATTTGTCACTGATGACAAGTTTTGTGAAACAGGGCCCAGGTCCTACCTTTTGGGTCCACTTCCTTGGCCACCTTGAGGGCGTCCGAGTTGGCCAAGTCCTGGTTAGCAGGAGAGACGGCCAGGATGAGGGTGCTCTCGTTGGTCACAAACTCCATGACCATGCTGCGTATCTGGATCTCAATGTCCACCGGCTGGTCTCCGACGGCTATCTTGGTCATACCCGGCAAATCTACCAGGGTCAGATTCAGTACTGTATTTCAGAGAGAAAGAGAGAGACCGTGTTTAACGAGAAGGTTGAGTTCTAGGAAGAGGTGAAAAATAATTTGTGAGTGTTATCGATTGTTATTACACAAGTGTGGAAGAACATCAGATAAAAAATGTTCCCTAAAAAGCATGGCTCTTCAAATGCCTTCATGTTTTAAATATGGCATGTAACATCGTAAAAATCAGGACAGATTTGTTTACGCCATGTGTTCGTGTAGTCCCATACTTTTTTTGTACAGTGTTTGTTACTTTACCAAGACTTGGCCAAATTTCTTATCATTTTGATGATTCCAGAACCTTGCAATACACACAAATACTTATATGCTAGATGATCAACCTTTTCTGATCGATTTCACACCGTTTCTTTCACAATGCAATCGCTTGACCAGAACTCAACTTCATCTTTAAAAATGGGAATAGAAATTTATTTGAATTCTTCAACTCTTAGACTGCCAGTGGTTTCACTTCAGGGATGCCAGTTAGAATTGATCAGAGGACCTGAAAATCGCCTACCCTGTAGAATGAGCCATTTTGTACACAAAAAAGCCTAAACTATAGTCTAAAAATAACTTGCCAGGGCCTGGATTCAGACTATTGCCTGAAAACTGGCATCCCTGTTCACTTTACATATAAGCCCTCTCCTATTGCTCCCAATGTTTTGGACAAAAAGACAAGCCTTTAACCAAACACTTCTCATCCTTGTACGTAAATATATTAATTGTGGATTCTCTTTCAATGAATTTGAATTGAAATGATTTTATTATTTGTATTGGCATTTTGTGGGGGGGGGGGGGTGTTTGAATAGGAACATGTGAAATCATCACCAAACTTTAACAAAACAAAATAAAACAAACCAAACCAAAAAGAAACAAAGAAAAGTTGAAAATATATTGCTATTGGTGCCAAAATACTTTCCCGGGTTTCTTGGCATATAATCCTTGACACATTCAATTCATGTGCTGATTGGCATCTATAGTATGCATCAAGATAATCAGTAACACTAACAGTGATGTCATTGAGGTATAATTACATTTGTATGCGGTCAATGTACAGTATCTACCGGGTAATATATTTTACAACAGAAAACCTCAATACACATTTCTCCTCTCTCCAGTGTAACTCAGAGTCAAAGTGTCCTTGTATGTCCTTGTGTACAGTATGTTGGGGTGGGGTACCAAGATTCATTTTATTATACACCTTAGTTTCCTCCTGAGTCATGATTGAATATTTGGTCTAATTGTATGTTTTTTTGTAGGGCAGGTCCAAGCTATTTGCTTTGTGACGTACGGGACATTCAGAGACTTTAAACAAGAAATAACAATGGATGACATTATTTATATGACTACATGTATCTTTTGGTATGAGTCTGTGGCTATTATGGGCTAGTTCATTTGTGGAAAGTTTTAGTTCTGACCAATTCATAAATTAATTTTTAATGTAATTAATGTGCTGCGTGACGTACGGGACCAGAGAATTTCTGACTTTTTCGAAAATAAGTTCATCATAAAAGTTCTCTGAATTTATTAAGTTATGAGATTTATGGTAATAATATCTTAATTCATTATGGAATCAAGCATTAATCACAACTATTACCATATTTTTCTGACCTTTCGTTATTATGTAATGTACTAAAACATAAATGTGTGCATGTGACGTACGGGACACGTGACGTACGGGACAACTTTTCCCTATGGGAAAATGCATTGAAATGGAGAATTTTTGTCAAAATTTGTTAAATGTGAACAATTTTAACTTAAATCAGTGACAATTAGAGTGTTTTAGATCCCAATTAGATCCTCTGACCATCACTTAATATCATCTGTGTTAATTTATGAGGTAAATCAATACAAATATTACTTTAACAAAGAAAACAAATTGAATTAATATTCATACACACTGTATTACCATTTTTATTCCATTTACCCATCTATCATGTGCAGTCATGCTTCTTTTCTCATTTCTTTTATCCATTCCATTCAACATTGCAAAATGTTTTTAAACAATAATTAATGAAGAAGATGAACTTGAACTTGAAAACTTTTCTTTAAACTTGTTTGAAACACAGGGGCACATTTGGCACATCATATTTTGTCAAAGAACATTTCTTATGTTCTAAGTGTTTGTGAACAAAGATACATTAAAAATATGAAGTCTTTTCTTCATAGCTTGTTTGAATTATTTGATATTAATATCATAGAATTTTGAAGGAATTCAAAGATAATGCTGGACATATTGTCTTTTTTATATCCTTTTATCACAAATTAGAACATGTATATGTTGCTGTCATATATTCAAGAATTTTGATGTACATTTAAATGTACCCTACATGTTTGTGAAAGATGGATACAAAAATATAAATCTTGAATGTATTTCGTATTGATTAAAACATCTTATTAACACCACCAGACATAAGAAATTAAAACCCTAAAGGTTTGTGTGACCTTTTCCAAAATTCAAAAGATTAATTTAAAGCAAACTCAACAAAAATGCATGGGTGTAAAAGTGATAAAAATCTTAAGTGGGTGAGAGTGTGAAATACTCAAAAAGGCTATCCTTCCTTAAAAGTTATGATTTAGTTTTTAGGAGATCAGAATTCCGAGCTGGCTCCATACATACATACATGTACAGTGCATGCTGTAATCCTTTACCATCATATATGACATTTAAATAGAATATAAAAAAACCTCACATGGAGAGCTTGATAGCATACATGTGCTATTCTTACCTGCAGCATCTATGAGTTGTAAAAGCCAGCTTCTGGTGCATCCACTACCATATAGTTTCATTAGACTCATTCCAGGAACTAGTACACTATTATGATTTACATATTTAGCATCCTGCCAATGTTGGAGACATCAACTAACAAAATACCAAAGTTGATAATACCAGGGGTCTGGCTTGAAGACTAATTACATTAACAACAATTACATAAAACAACAACAAAAGTACAAACAAGTAAATTCCTAGAAGGGACCCAGTTGGAATGTTCATATATCCCTGTATACAACAAGTTTCCTAACACAGTATACATGTATATTCTCCTTTTGGTCATTTCCTTTTTCACATCTCGCATTGGTTTTATATGGGGTTGTCCCGTACGTCACTAATTGTCCCGTACGTCACATTTATTAATTTGATTATGTAATCAACACAGAATTTTTGAAATTTTTGTTAAACCTATTTTTTGTTAGGTATTCATCTAAATTAGAACTTCCTAGAATATCTTTAAAAAAAAAATTATTTTCATAATAAAAATTAAACAAATTATGATCAAATTGTGACGTACGGGACATCACACTTTGGCAAGCCTTTTATTAACCGGGCGCCGGGCGATTTTTACCCTACGGTCCCTGACTTTTGGCGCCCGGTAAGACGGGGAAAATGAGTACCGGGCGCCGGTCATTTTTTATTTCTGGCGCCCGGTCTGGGAGAATTAACATTTTCTGTTTCATAAACTTCCACATGTCTAGCACTAAATGTTCACAAATGTGACAAAAACTTACTTGATACAAGTTAAACGTGGACTGAATGAACCCTAACAAATCATTATAATGAGAATCCTAATTAAAATCGCCCAGAAACAATTGCAGCACGAATACGAGCGGCCGCTATTTCCTACTCCTAGCGGAGAACGGAGCACACAATACAGGGGATGTACACCACTCAAAGACGAGCGCATTTCCCCAGCCCAGGCCATGCATACACACACAAATGACATCAGTGCTGTACTGCAGTACACACACAGTGTCAGTACAAGAAAGTCTCGATGTAACTTCCAAAAATCCATCCCAAAAGCCAAATTTTGCTGTCAAAAATGCGGAATCGGAGCCATATTTCCAAAGCTCACGGGGATTAAGCCCAGTTTTAAGAAACAGTTTCATCAAAATAGCGCTAAAAATCAAGAAATCAGCGATTTTATTACCAGTTTTTTTTACCTATCGCATGCCCCTCGAATGTAATGGTATCTTCAAAAAGGCAAATGAAAATCAAAACACCGGATCTGCTGATGCATTGACTTTATGTACAAAGTTGATTGCAACTCCAGACTTGCCTTGATTCAGCGGCCCTCGTACTCATTGACTAAAATAATAAAATAATGGACTTTTCTGATAAAATAGGTAAATATATTTAACAAATCTTTTTTTTAAATTTTCGAATTATTGTTATTATTATTATTATTATTATTATTATTATTTTTTTTTTTTTTTTTTTTTTTTTAAGTGACAGGTCGGCCGTTCTCAATGATTGAATGCGTTTTTATCCAAAGAAACATGAATGCAATAGCATTTTATAGGGAAAATAACAAAAACGTAAAACAGGCATAATATTTTTTTTCACCTAAAATATGTTTTTTCAAGCTGAATAATATGTTTTTTTGAAAGCGACAGGTTGGAAGCTCTGCATTGTCATTATAGATCTGGTTTTTCTTAAATATTTTTGTATAGAAATAATTTAATTCCCCCCTTCCCAACATTTTTAACATTTAACGGCATGAAAATAGTATTAAACATGAACTACAAGTACAACAACTACAAATGACAGATTTATCTAAGGTATGAGTGATTTAATATTAGAGTGCTCAAAATTTAAACTAGAAATTCAACTACCGTATGTATAAATAAAAGGTAACGTTTAACAAATAATTTAAAAGAATACGGTACATATTTTCATCAATTTTGGAAACGGCTCCTGGTCCTGGAAAACGGCTCCCGGTTCCCCAAAAAAAATAAGGACCGGGAGCCGCTTTTTCAGATATTTGGCTCCCGGTCTGCTTTGACTTAATAAAAGGCTTGCACTTTGGAACCTACCTCATTTGCATAATTAATTAATTTTGAAAGTTTTTATATTTTTTTCCTATTTTCTAGCATGATGGTCTTCATGTCCTGAGATATTTAATTTTAAACAAATAATTCAAATGAGATACAAAAATAAAAATGTAATGTCCCGTACGTCACGCTAATTAATACAAATCGAAGTTCGTGACCTTGGCACTCTTCGTATTTTGATAATTTTTTAAATTTTTTATCAGATTCATAAAATTCATAGTTTCAGCTTTAAAATGAGGTAAAGTTTGTTAAATATATATAAAGATGAAATTTGACCCCCAGAGGGGACAATAGCTTGGACCTGCCCTGTAATGTATCGTAGTATGAATGAATCAGGGGGGGGGGGGGTCCTGAACTAATTTAAATTAAATTGTTATAATACATATTCTGCAATTGTTTGTCATTAATTGCTGTCATGAACAAGTATATTTTCCTATGTTATGAATATATGTTTTGAACTGTATTGAGAATTGTGTTGTTATTAATGTTTCAACAAAAAAACAAATAGCCAACACAGTGCACATCATCACATGTACATACATGTGGACTAGCATTAGAATACACACATACATTTGCACATTACAATGTACATGTCTTGTAAACATACAAACAATCATTGCAGTTATAAATGACTGATCTGCATTACACCTCTTCCTACTTGCACATTGTACACCCATCCTTTCAACACAATACATACATGTACATATATATACCGGTACACTGTACATGTACATGCTCAACACTTATAGAAAGAATAGGCCTGCCCTTGGCCTTGAAAAAACACCACATGCTGGCATACTGAAACAATTTAATCAATACCTCATATATTTTAATAGTATTTCCAATTTCCCATGATAGAGAAACTGATCTTTGAGTTTATTCAGCCTTGCACAAAAATCGGTCTCGAAACAATTTGTGGGGAGTTCAATTTGAATAACGTGATTGAACCTAGCTTTCGGTTTCTTTCAATCAAAAGCTACATGTAGATGGGTTTCTTTTTTCTTTTTGTCTACAACACTCGGACAGCCACATCTGTCAATAGTAACAAAAGCAAAACACATCGCACTCCATGTCATATATTTCTCAACCACTACATGTACTTCATAAGCTGTTTAAATCATAAAAAAAGAATAGATGATAGGGACTGTTATCGTCTAGTGGATAAGTTTAATATCAAACTGTTTTTTTTAAAAATCATAATGTAGATATATGTAAAAGTACAGGGTTCGACTTCCTGTCGTAAATCTTAAACTACACCTGTACATGTTACAATTTTGATGGCTTCAAAAGTTAAATGTTTTTTCCTTATTGTACATGTAATATAATATACAACATAATTAATCATTCTGAACAGTTTTCCAGCATTGCACCATTGCAGCGCTCAGTCTACGTGGACCTCTTAAAATAGATTGTGCATGAAGACTATTTAACAGTCGATACTCTCAATTAGTGCTCAACATGTCAGATCCAACAAGAAGGCCTCTCATCATTGAAAGGTCATCTGACACCTACACAAGCACCACAATCTTAATCGACTCTTCCCCTACCTACCCCTTCCTCCTCCATAAAACAGGCTTTGAAGTAACGACCGGTAGTGGTAAAATTGCGGTTCAAGGGTTTTGGGTGCAAAATATCCATTCAATATTGTTTAAATATTGCCTTCAGAGGTTTAGATGGCAATACTTCAACCTAAATTCGCAGAAAAATGAAATGGAAGCTCTTATTACCAATCATGTGAAAGAATGTTTTGACTAATACGTGATGAATTTGATGATACAAATTTTGCAGGGAAACCGCTACTAACTGATATATTTGGTAAATTATTATATTTATCCGGACTGGATAGATATTGCGTAGTCCCACATACATGTACATCTTTCTGTGTACAGTGCTTGTAACTTTACTATTAAAGACTGTACCAAATTTCTTATCATTTTGACGATTCCAGAACCTTGCAGTACACACCAATACTAGTTATATGCGAGATGATCAACCTTTTCTGATCGATTCCACAACGTTTCTTTCACAATGCAATCGCATACCCAGAACTGATCTACAGGTATACCTTTAATTAAAGGATAATAAGTCTTACCGTTGGGTGAGTAAACTCGAAGGTTGATTGGAACATTAGAGATTCCTTTGTTGCTGCCGGTAACCCGATCGGTCTCGGCTTCAATCTCCTTGCGAATCTCATCAAAGTCAGTGAATTTCTTCCCTTTGCAGTGCAGAAATTCTCCATATTCTGAGGGGGGATATTTCAAGAATAAAATACCAATCAAGATTCATGATATTTTCGTAGAGAAAAGCAATGGAATAAACAATTGTTGAACTGTGTAGTGAAACATATTGCTTCAAAAAGGTAATTCAATTATTATCTTCAACTACAACATGTTAATCAATAGTGCCAAGTTTACAATTTGGAGTGGACTATTAGGCTATTATTATTATTATTATTATTATTACATGTACTATGTAAACCTTCTCTGGTAAAATATTCCCCCCCCCCTGATAATATCAACATTAGAAAGTTAATAAAAATAAGAATATGGAATTACAAATTATAGCAAGGTATGGAGTGTACATGTACATGTATACTATAATTCATCTTAAATCAAAGAAGAATAGAAATACATTTGAAACCTCTAAGAATTCAATGAATTATTGCCATTGCTTGAGTTACAATAGGGACATGTGCATGTATAGAATGGCAAGTTCATGTGTACATACGTATATACAGCTGTACATATTTAATCTCGTCTTTTGTTGCATATAAATATATACAACACATGTACATGAGTCATTGAATGACAAATTACTAAAAATAGCATTCAATGATTTCCAACACATTTAGTACAAATGATCACATCATTGCAATCAGGTTGTATGTCTGCCTTTTAATACTGCATGTGACCCTATAAATAAACACATGAGTAACACATGTGCAGATTATTGAACACAAAATATCAGGTTGCTAATGCCGACAAGGAGTGCTGCCCTGTTTAATACAAATATGTTTCCGGTACAGTTGATTAAATCTGTAAATGTCATGTAGGGACTAAATGTACAACTTGCATGTACGCCAATATGAAACAGTTTTTACATACTTAGAAATATTATACTCCCTCATCCTTGGTGTAGGATTTCAATATAAAAAAGAAAGTGAATAAAGAACAGAGAGTGTTATTTTATTTATATTACATGGGGGTTGTTTCACAAAGTTCCTAAGTCGAACTTAACTCTAAGTTGGACTTAAAATTTATGGAGAGCCATTTGTAGCCTAAAAATAAAATATATTCAAAAGTTAAAATTCAAGTATTTTAGAGATTTTATAAATTCCACATCAAGAACATGAAATCTCCTTGACAAAAGAAAATATGAATGATTTGAATCAACATTTTATGCCTTTTAAAATAACTTTTACAAAATATTTTCATGGATGCTAACAGCTTTCCATAATTGTTGAGTCCAACTAATAGAGATAAGTTTGACTTAGGATCTTCGTGAAACACCCCCATGGACTGCATGTCACCACATAAAGGATTGAAATCTACCTGTTTTTGAATTGTTGAGTTGGAGGACGAGAGGTCGCCTGGTCACAATGCCTGAACCACGAGGAAGGAAATCTCTGTAAAATACGAAGATGACAGAAAGATTAATTGTCAAATTCAAGAAAACAGAAGGAAGGAAAATTGAAAATGTTGGTGTGAACCTGATACAGGGCTCTTATCAGCTGCCAATATTTACATGTACCAGTACCGCATTCACACGTACACAGACAGTTTTCTTCATTTTCCTTAAAGGAAACCTCACCCCAAGAAGTAACTTTAGGGTTGGTTCCCTTTAACATCCTTCATATAACTTCTACTCCACCTACATACAGTACACGTACAAGTCATGCTTTTAAAAGTATACTGGTACCATACATGTTTGTTAATGTACAGTGTTGATCAAGGGTGGTTATGGGTTTTAGTTTTTTTAAATAAATTACATGTACATACAGTATTCTACTTAAGCCTCGGTCACAAATGCCATTGCGAACTGCTTTGAACGCCGTACAAACGATTTTCAGACAATGGAAATTCGGGAAGACAATGGAAAAACATGGAGATTCGTACGAAATTATCGTTCGTACGAACCTTTGTGACCATAGCATTAGTAAATCAAAATACTTTTCTAAATCAAATAGCCATAAAATATCTATTGTTGTGTCAGGCTTTCAAAAATATGTTTTCCTGTTCAACTACATTATAAAGTAGATTCCAAATTTTGGGAGTTATTGATCATTCTTTCGTTTTCTGAAAATCTGTGGCTGTTATTTGTAACAAAGTTTATAAACAATAAACAATATAAACACATACTGTATCAAATTAAAAACAAAGCCAAGCTACAGTTTTGACCCTTCCATCCTTTTTTTGTTGTTGAAGACTACATGTAGTTGGGTTAGAGTAGAACCAAGCGCGCTATAAGTTAACTGTTTTACATTGATTGAATGTACATGTACATGTAAACAAACCATTCTTGGGCTACACACTGTACATACATGTAAATGTAACATGCATGAAGATGTACACAAAACTGCAATCAATGCACACTGTTTAAATTATTCAACTTTCAGATCACTAAACTGCTGTCCTCACTCATACATAATCCACATTGATAAGTTAGGATCATATCAATGAGCTCAGCTGTTCGATGCTGATCTCTCATTATCCATAGGGAATTCAGATAGGTCGATAGGAGAAGACAGTGACATGATATACAGTGTACAGTATGCAGACTGCAGAGCAGATTTATTTTTGACGACCTCTGTTACAGAGGCTGAGCATTGGAGTCTGCCCAAATCATCTTCTTTCTCTAATAATTTAATGAAACGTCAAAGCTTCCGCGCTCCGCAAGGCCCACCCCCCCCCCCCTGGCCCTTGGGAGCTGCTTACTGTTCCCAAGCATATTCGGGGGGGGGGGGGATCATACATGTATTTCACATGGCTAAACAGCCTACATTTGTTTGTATTTGTTTGTTAGCATTTAATTAGAGACTTCGGTGGAAAGTGCTTCATAAGCACCGTTTTATCATTATTATTGTTAAATAATAATAATAATATGTAATCGGTTTCATTGTGTTAGAGAAAGAAATGAACATGTACATATATATGCCGTATACCATACATAATACAAGGTGTTTTTTACATTCTGTCCGCCATGCGATGTGTTATATTTACATGTAAATGTACATGTGCATGATGAAGTGCTGTAAAAGTAGAAATATTCGCAGTACATTCATTTTCACGGATTTTGCGCTAAGAACGGATGGAAAGCACGAATTTTAGAACTCGCGAATATGTTTTGGGGTTGCCTTTGGAGAATACATGTAAAGCCCCAGTCCCATATAAAGCCGGACCAGCACGGACGAGCACGAACCACTCCGGACCATCCCGGACCATGGTCTGGGGTGATCCGGGATGGTCGGGGATGTTTTGTTCAAACAAGTGTGATGCTTTAAAAGCTACAGTCCCATATACGTCCCGGACCGTCCCGGACCATCCCGGACCACATCCGGGGTGATCCGGGATTCGGTCCGTGTTGACACCGTGTTGGCACCGGGGTGGTCCTGGATGGTCCTGGATGGTCCTGGATGGTCCTGGATGGTCCTGGGCGGTCAATACCTCACTCCCGGACTGCCACGGAACAACACGGACCGCCCCAGCGCCACTACGGATGACCCCGGACCCAGCACGGTGGCTACACGGATCACCCCGGATCAAACTATTGTCCCGGACCGTCCCGGACCACCCCGGCAGTTTTTGACCGTCAAAAACATCCTGGGTCGACTCCCGGACCGCCCAGGACCATCCAGGACCATCCAGGACCATCCAGGACCATCCAGGACGACCCCGGTGCCAACACGGTGTCAACACGGACCGAATCCCGGATCACCCCGGATGGGGTCCGGGATGGTCCGGGACGGTCCGGGACGTATATGGGACTGTAGCTTAACTTTAGAAGCTCCATGTATTTACACAAAATCAATATCACAGGCTTTTGCAGAGTGGGGGGTGGGGGCTTTTTTCCCCTTCTTAATAGTAAAAAAAAGAAGACGGGAGGGGACGTTATTTGGTCTTATATTAAATGGCCCTCAAATTAATTCCTGGTTTCATCATCAGTATTAGTATTTGCAAAGTAATTATAAGGCCATTACGTTGATCCGGTCTCAGCCTCATTTTCCTAAATTGGCGCCTACAAGGGCCCTTCTGATTGGCTATCGCTGGCTGCCATTCATTCAACATTATAAATATTAGTGCGAGGAGAAAGCGATATACCCTTTGATCTTGTACCAAAATCGTGATATTCTAGTCAAACCTTCTATTTTTTTTACGATTTTTTTCAGCATCCTTAAAAGGTTAAGTATTTTACTTCAGTTTGAAAAATTCGAATTTTTGTCATATATTTAAGGTTCAAAGTACGAACTGGCAAGTTGTACTGAATTGTTCGTCAATTTTTTCTTCTTTCTATTGTGTACCCATGGCTATGCTAAGTGTGCGTCAGTATGTGTGCAGTGCATCACCTGTTGAAAGCATGACATATATGTCAGTGTGTTAAATGTAATATTACGTATTGGCATTGTTATTGCGCTCTTTGCTTACAATAAGTATAAAGTGAGCCCTCTCTCACTTAAATTAAAAACCGCACGAGCGGATCGGCCAATGAGAGCGCGTTATCTGATTTTATCTCACTGTACAGCGCTCAATGCCTATAAAAGTTCTACCTTCTACTACTACAGTAGTACTCTGTTAACTAGATTAAACGTATTAAAAAAAGCAGAAATACGAAGTTGCAAACCATCCAGAGACTCCTAATAAATTGCGATACTTGTTGATTAGGCCATGTAAAATTAATTTCATGTTGATCGTCCCCGCCCGCTTCCTTTTGGGGGGCCGCCTCCTATTTTTTGTTATTTGTTTTTTGTTTTTGTTTTTTTTTTAATTTTTGTTGTTGATTTTTTTGTTATTTTGTTATTTTTTTGAAAGAAAAATAACATGAAAAACACTGCTAAAATGGCTCTATTTCTGATTTAAAAAAAAAAAAATTGTCGGCGGCCATCTTGAAAAAAAATAGCCTCGACTGTCAGGGAAAATGTACCGAGCGGCCATTTTGAGCGGCCATTTTGAAATATCAAATATCAAATAACATGTTACACCCTCCTCCTCATTTTCAAAAAATCCGGACGATCAACATGTAATCAATTTTACATGGCCTTACTTATAATCATTACATAATTTTTATTTTCAGTTTTCTTTATGGATATTTAAGGATAACTGATTTTCTTATAAAACTGAAGATATGGCGTAGAGTCTATATACTCAATACTGAATGAACACCATTAAACTAGTATTACCAACGGCAACAACAGTATCTGTCAACTAGACCCTAGTTCTTTTGTAGGTTTCTAAATTTTGCAAACGAGCAAATTCAAAAGAAATCAAGTATTTTTCATATTTTATTTCAGTGAAAAAAAAAAACAATAGTGTAAAAAGAAGCCAGAAGGCTGAAGAAAAATGCTTAGAAAAAAAAATGTATAATATGCCAAAGCCCACAACAAACAAAATCCCGGAAGCCGGAAGTCCAGTTGTTGCCGAAGACTAATGCCTGTAATGCTCGCCGCACCTCGGGCTTGCCTCGGCAGTACCGCTATACACAGCGGCGGTGCACTGAAGGCAGGGCCAGGGCTAAGGGCTCACTACAGGCAACATACACCCGAGCCTAGCCCGCACGATAAATGATCCAGCACCGAACAGTATCATCATCGCATATTTCATTTTAAGTATAGTATTGATACCTACAAATAGTTGAAATAACATTCAATGAATACTTCACATATTTGAAAATCGAATTAATAGACGTGATATTTGTAAAGATACATACAAATGGAAGGAATTAAATGTCAGTACATTGGACTTTTATCGATTGAATGAGGGCCGAATTTCAGCACGGAGTTACCATTGACCATAACATAACTCACCGTCCAACAAAATTTTCGAGTACACTGCTTTTCCCTGCGCTCTGACCGCCAACGACGGCAATTTGTGGTAAATCCAATAGACCACCACCTCCAATAGCAGCAAATGCATCTTGCAACCGATTTACAACCGGAATCAAGTCTTCCATTCCCCTATTCCCCATGATTACAAGTTAAATTTCTTCCACTCTCACGTAAATATTATGTACTCCTTTCGACTGCAAAATCCTATGATGGCCGCCTCCCCTTGCGCATGCGCAACTCAGCAAGCAGCATACGATTAACTCATTGTCATCATTTGAACGCTCTCCCAATAATTGTACGGTACAGTACATTTGGATAGCATTGCACGATTTTAACAACTTCAGGCACAACAATCTTCTAATTGCCTTTACCATTTTTACACTGACGTCATTCGTTATGTGTCATTATCATGCATTACCCTCCCAACTTTTCTTACTAGGTTTATAACCAGGAAATAAACATTCCATTCCATAGAAAACGAGACGTTTGTTTTTTCGATGTATATCCTTGTTACTTTGTTATTTTCATGTGTTTCCCTGCTATCTTTTCTTACTGAGCAAGAAGAGCCTATTTTTGTGCGATAAATTAGGCTCAATCGGGGCTCAACCCGGGAGAGGCTCATGAAAACGGAGTGTTAAGTCAATTATTGCAATCGCACATTAAATTTGAATGGGCCTATTCGTGAGAAATCATTCAAGAGCAGCATTTTCCTTTATCATAATGATCATGCCAGGGGCGGATCCACGTAGCGATTTTTCCGGCCCGCCCCCCCCCCCTAGCCCCCTGAAAACGGTTTAAAAAAATAGGATAATAACGTAAATTTAGCCTTTTTAAAAACAAAAAACAAAAGCGGCCCCCGACAAAACAATATGCATATTTTGCTTGTATAATTATGTGCTATTAACACCCCCACACCTCCCCCCTTATTCACCGGCCAGCTGAGTCGGCGCTGAATTTTGCATGAAAAACTGGACCCCCCCCCCCCTCACACACAAACAAAAATGTGCTCTTACCCCCAAGGTCAAGATATTAATTTAACTATAAAACAATGTTTCTTGACTAAAATCGACCGATTGGCTATTTCCATTTGGAAATTATATATCACAACTACATATTCTGAGATTTTCATGGTCACAGCTACCATTGTATGGCCGTAGGCGCTATTTGAAAATTATCGAGATTTACCGGGAGCACGTGCGCTAAATTTAGATATTCAATTTTTCTCGAAAGCAGAAGTGTTTTAGTAGCTAAATTTTTTAGTACTTATAAAACATCCACAGGGGCATTCTAATATTTTAAAATTGTAAAAAATCACTATCCAGCCAATTTTCAAAATTTCCCAAAACTTTCTAATACCTTTAATTTTTAGTAGAGTGATACATGTCTCTCATACCCCGAGAGGGGGTCGATAGGGTCAATAAAATCTTACAATATTATAATCTTACCAAGAGGACAAAATACGAAATTGAAATATTGGACTCATAGGCAGCCTGCATGCAAGAAAGAACCAAACAAATTCAAGATGATCTCCCAACTTTCTTTCTCTCTCGATTCCCGGGCATTATTGGATTATCGCTGACTTTCGAAAGAGGGAGACGAAAGTCTCTTAACCTTAAAAAAGCTTTTCTTTAATTCCTTCTTTCTTTCTTTTCATTTATAAACATTTCCTAATGCAGATGATACAAAGCTAAAGTACAGTCGAGTGATCTACTCACTCGATAGGCCCAAATCACACAATTCTTATTTGAAATCTATAGCTTTTCGTGCGCCCCTCCTGTTTTCTGGTTTGAAAAATTCATGTGAGCGAATGATACGAGTGAAAGGTCTTCCTTGCAAAAATGAAAAAAAAAAAAAAAAAAAAAAATTGGTTTCCAACTTCAATTATTATTGTTCCTGGGATAATGACTGTAAAGATTGTGCTTAATGAAACCGAGTGATGGCGCAAGTCCATATTATAAAAAGAGTCGTTCAACTTTTCATTCATGAGACGACCAGAACGAGGAGCAAGGGCAGACTTTCACAAATCTGTCATACGGTACAGTCAAGTTCACCGAACGCAGGTCAATTGAAATACATGCGATTTAATGGGTGTTGGTGAACTCGTACCAGTGGCGGATCCAGGGGGGGGGGGGGGGGGGGGGCCCGGGGGGCCCGGGCCCCCCCCCTTGAGAAAAAAGTCATGTAAAATCACGTGATTTTTACCTTTTTTGGGGGTTGGGCCCCCCCCCCTGGCGCTCAAGGGGGGGGGGGGGGGGGGTGCAAATTGAATTTATTTGGGGATCAAAAAAAAAAAATGTGCTCACTACCCCCTCCCCCCCCCCCCCCCCCCCCCCCCCCCCCCCCCCCCCCCCACTGAGCGAAATTTTGGCCGGCGCGTTTTTCAAATTTTCGGAGCAAAAAAAAAAAAAAAAAAAAAAAAAAAAAAAAATAGTGCTCTGTACCCACCTCCACCTCCCCCCCCCCCCCCCCCCCCCACTGAGCAACTTTTCGGCCGGCGCGATTTTCAAATTTTCGGGAGCAAAAAAAAAAAAGTTGGGCCCCCTCCCCTAAGAAATCCTGGATCCGCGCCTGCCCCCCCCCCCCCCCCCCCCCACTGAGCGACTTTTCGGCCGGCGCGATTTTCAAATTTTCGGGAGCAAAAAAAAAAAAAGTTGGGCCCCCTCCCCTAAGAAATCCTGGATCCGCGCCTGACTCGTACTTACGACAGTTCCGTGAAACGATGCCCTCAGGGACGGATCCAGGGGGGCACAGGGGGCACGTGCCCCCGGCCAAAAAAAAATGTTAAAATCAGCCCTAAATTCGCCAAAAATCCCTGAAAAACAGGAACGTGCCCCCCCCCCCCCCCCGGCGCCAAAAATTAAATTTAAAATTAAAAAAAATATATATATGTATATATATATACCAATGGCTTACCTAAAAAGATGACCCCCCCCCCTCCCCACAACAAAAAATGTCCTCTTACCCCCCCCCCCCCCCCGGGAAGAAATTCCTGGATCCGCCCCTGGCCCTGATTAACATTCGGTGGTGGATGGGTCGGTATGACAAAACCCGTTCTGAATAATAATTATGTGAAGAAAAAAAAATAGTCAATCCTTCCTTCTTTCTGCTTACGATTTTCTGGCTTTACCATATTCACCTCAACGCAAGAAAATCCTGGATCGACATCTAATGATTGTGTCACACGCCCTACCAAAGGGCGACGATTTTAGGGGAAGAGATATCAACGAAAAAAAATAATACACTTGGAGAATATCAAAATAGTCTAAATCATGGTGTAACGTCGTAAAGGATTTCGTAGTGGGCTTCCATCTGTAAATGATTACACAAAAATGACATCCTATCCCTATCTTTTTGTCCGTCCCTCTCAAATTTTGTTAGATAGCCATAGTACTGTTTGCCTTACCTAGCAACAATGTTATGCAACTTGCATTCTGACTATTAACATACAATTACAGGTGAATGAAATAAGACTTATTTATTAAATTTGGTTATAATAAGAAGATGGCCTAAATACCGGGCAACGCCCCCGGTTATGGAGGATTTTCGTTTCTGCTTACGCTGTGCAGGAGACCATTTTACTTTGATTCATAGGTACCTACCGACCCATTAAAAAAGGTGTTTTCTTATAAATGAGTACATCTGATTGAACCTGTTGCAAGATTTATAATCCGTGCATCTCAATATGGAAAAATAAAAAGCATTAGGATGTAGGCCTACTCATTTTTCAATATGCATTAGTTTAACAAATTGGGGTAAGCTTTGTCGATGTCACAGCACTTGTGATCTGTTCATATTTCGCCTGTGGTCATTTTTCCCCACTCCTTCGTTATGTTCTGTGTTTTGTTTTGTTTTGTTTTGTTTTGTGTTTTGTTTTGTTCTATTTTGTGTTTTGTGTTTTGCGTTTTGCGTTTTGTTCTGTTTTGTTCTGTTTAGTTCTGTTTTATACTGTTTTGTTCCGTTGTGTTCTGTTTTATTCTGTTTAGTTCTGCTTTGTTCTATTTTGTTCTGTTTTGTTCTGTTTTGTTTTGTTTTGTTTGTTTAATTTTGTTTGATGTATTATGGGCGATTCTTGTTTATTCAAAGATGTTAGTTAGATGGTGGAACCTTAGGCAAAGAATTACAAATTTAGATGTTCTCTGTTGGATAAATCTCTGTAGGCCAAAAGTGAAATCAAAATCTGACTTTAAATATGATTTTCGAATACTTGTCTGATGACGCGAGTGGATTTAAAATCCCTGTGCGACAAAATAGACCGTCAAAGGGCAATCTATAGGTGAAGTTCATTCTCCTTCGAAATGAAACACTGTTCAATGCATGCAACGAATATAATGAGAGCACTCCCCCTCCCAGCCTCTTCTTCAAATTCCTACCATTTGGGATAGGGTGCTAGGTTGCTGGTAATGTACACGAGTACTGTAGTTAAGAGTTGATATATAGTGGTCAAAGAGCTTGGAAGTTAGATGATAATAGGGAAGGGAATAACATGATAAAAGTCGGAATTATCTATGCGAATACTATGGCCTCAAGTCAGTGTCTGAAACATGTCCACCGACTCTCACTTCGCACTTTTCACGAGACAACTTCAAATGATTTATCGAACAATTTAAAGGTAACCTTTGACCTCCGTAGGATAATCAACATACCCCAGGCTGGAACCTGTAAAGCGCCGACACCTTTTCAAGATTTCCTCACGCTCTTCATCCCAAAATCACTCCAATTTTTGGGTCAATACAGCCATTTTCTGTGCCTTTTACTTCTTACGATCAATGAATCATATTCACGCCCGTTATTTATGAAAGAAATCGGACTTTTACGGCTGTAATTCGTTGATGAAGAATATGCCTTTATCAGCGATGAATCAGGGCTTTAAACTTTGAGCGATTTAAGATATTTCATGAAATAGTTCAAGAAAAAAATATGTCCCAATAGTTTCATTTTCGAGAGATCCTATTTGTTAAAAAATGATCAATTAAAAAATGTACTCGGTGAATGCTTCGTCGCTTCCCGAATGCCCCATTCTGTCCAACTATTCACCTGCAATGCGTTCACTTATTGTATTTTGGTAGGCAGAATGCAGGTTGTATAGTTGTCGCTATGTCGGATAAATCTCACGCATCATAATAATACTAGAAATCATTTTAGTGTTAGCATACGATAAGAATAAATGTGTGAACTGGCATATAAGGCTAAGTAACAATTATTTACGTGTTTCTCGTCCCCGCCAGCACCGTTTTT